CCTCACAATTTAAACTCACATTTTCAAGCTATATTAACTAGCTGTATTAACAAGTCCTCCAGGTGATTCTGAAGCATGTTGAAGTTTGAGAACCACTTCTTTATAGTAGTAGTGGTTCCCAGTCTTGGCTGCACATCAGTATCATCCAGGGGTGCTTTTAAGGATCTAGATGCTCAGGCTCTACCCCAAACTGGTTATATCCAAGTCTCTTAGAGTAGGACTCAGGCATCATCTATCTATCTTTCTTTCTTTCCTTCCTTCTTTCTTTCCCTTTCCTTCCCCTTCCCTCCCTTCCCCTTCCCCACCTAAGTGAGTCCATTGTTCAGCCAGGATTGAGATCCACTGTTTTAGCCAGTAGGGACAGTGTTCCCTCAAAGGAGCTGTAAGCATTTGGGATCACTGGTAAGATATCTTTATTTAGATGAGCATAGTTGTGAAGGCAAGGGTCTAGGGGACTGAAGGTGGAAAACATGGGGCAGGGATGAGATTGATGCATGGCACCATCCTAGTGATTCAGAGTCTTACAGTGTAAGGTAAAAGAGGACAAAGAAAGAAGCAAAGTCCCCTCTTGCCTTCTGCAGGAGAAACCAGAAGGAAGCAGGCACTGATAATGGCCCTCTCACATAAACTAGCCTTCACAAAGATCCTTCAGGCAGAGCTTCTTGTCCTCTACTTTTTTTTTTTTTTTTAATTTTTATTTATTTATGATAGTCACAGAGAGAGAGAGAGAGAGAGAGAGAGAGAGAGAGGCAGAGACACAGGCAGAGGGAGAAGCAGGCTCCATGCACCGGGAGCCCGACGTGGGATTCGATCCTGGGTCTCCAGGATCGCGCCGTGGGCCAAAGGCAGGCGCCAAACCGCTGCGCCACCCAGGGATCCCTCTTGTCCTCTACTTTATAGGTGAGGGATTGGAAGTCTGGACAGGCCAGCAGCCGGGAAGCAGCACAACCAGACTGAGAGGTGATCTTTTGATTGCCTAGCGCACATCTTCCTTAAGGTTTCCCCTGGCCAGTTCCCCCAAATTCTGGCTCCTTCAAGTGTCTTTTGATGTCTCACCTGTTACGTTTTGTTATATTTGCTTTTTGTTTGGAACAGATAAAAAATAATGAACCTTTGATCAACGTGCTTTACAAAGTGCTGAAGAAGTCAGCACGGGGCTGTCGGCCCAGGAGAAGCGTAAGATGATCTGATCTGTGTCTCCGAGCGGGGCCATTCCATTGCTTCTGGCTCAGTGCCGACCTCATCACTTGCTTACCCAGGGGCTCTCCTGACCGCCCCCAGGCTTCCTGCAAGTCATTTTGGTTTATTTTTTTCTCCCGTTGAAACTCCCCTCCTCATTTTGGCCGGTGCACCAGGCTGAACCTTTCATCTGCGGTGTTCTGTGCCTCCATCTTTTGTGCTGCCATGGGGGTGGGGAGGGCGTGCCTGGCTTGCAACCAGCTTGTGTTGTGTTCCCATTCTCTCTCATCTGCCTCCATGGTGAGGACTGACGTCGACCGTGACCAGTGTGGTCTGTGTAGTCAAGCGTGAGTTCCCCGGGAAGGGACGCAGTTCCTGGTCACCTTGGAACAGCTGGAGTACCCTGAGATTTCACCATGGCCCTGGGATCAGGGTGGCTTTTCTCTGGGGTGGAGCGTTGATATTTGAAAAACAGTCAAGGGTGGAACTAGAACAAAATGGACTCTCCCAGATACCCCCTTTGACTGATGCTGAAGTAGCCTCTGAGATGTGGCCAGCTTTTATAGCTTTCCGAGAGGCTGCAGGATAGGAAGCAAGTGCTATGTCCAGTTATCCTGAGTCCTGAGAGAAGGTGTGTTGGGATGTGGTGGAAGGGAGGTGAAATACATGGGTGACCTTCAGTTCCTTTCTGGGGCACATACTCTTTCAAATGGGAGGATGCCCAATGACTTTCATTTTTTTGTTTTGTTTTGATGACAGAGATGCCTGAGACCCATAGTGACATTTTAAATGGATCTAAACATTGCTATCACAAAGCAAAGTTTTAAAAGGAAAATTAGATGTAATAAACTACTTGTGGAAACTGTAGTAGCCTTGACTCTCTGGAGCAAAGGTAAATTCAGAAGTTTAAGGGGCCTCTGAGCTGGGTAAACACTTTCATGAAGCCCATGCTCTGAAGCCTGTGCCTGTTATTGTATAGGAGTAGGCCCAACTCACTCTATTTTGTTACATTCACAGGTTCACTAAACAAACATTTCCCAAATATCCTCAGTATGCTGGGCCCTGACTTTAAGGATACAGAGAAAATATGTCACAGTGCCCACAGTCACCCCTATTCAGAGTTACTGATGACTGAGGAGGAGACAGCGTATCATCTGATGTGTACTGAGAGACACAAGGTGTGGGAGGATCTTCCCTGAAGAGCAGGGGACCCAGTTGGAGGGAGGGAGTTAGGGAAAAGCAGCAGGTGTCACCTCTGTGGAGTCTCTAGTCCTAACAGACTCAGCCATCTGAATTCCTAACTCACAGCACCTTAAATGCAGCCATTAAAAGGGGACAAGAGAGAGGGCCCCTGGGTGGCTCAGTCAGTTGAGCAACTGCCTTCAGCTCAGGTCATGATCCCAGGGTCCTGGGATTGAACCCCACATTGGGCTCCCTGATCAGTGGGGAGCCTGATTCTCCCTCTAATGTTCCCTCTGCTTGTGTACTCACTGTCTCCCTCTCTCTGTGTCAAATAAGTAAAATGAGACAAGGGAGAGTTACTTCTTAGAAAAAGAGGGTGTACTAATATTCTGAGCGAGAAACATTAGGTGTCAAAATGAAAGCACAGAGACTTAGGAGCATTTAATCAAAGGGCAAGTAGTCCTAAAACACTAACTTCTAAGAAATTCCATATTACTGATATGGAATATCAGTTTATAATGACTCTGATTCATCCCTGAAAGGTTGAACTTATTTGCAGTTCTATGAAAGCAGCGTAGGACTTACTTTTAGAAACCTTCCCGTCAAACAGTTTCAAAGGTTCGGCTTTCTCAAAATGCCCTTTTTGTGTGGAATACGTCATTCCTTTCCTGATGGTGCTGGATAAATGAGGCATTGCTCAATTAGATTCTCTGCCTTGCTATTTCAGTATCAAAAAGATAGTGTCTATTAAAAGCTCCAGTGAAATAAGGGGAAGAGTTTTGCTAGGAGGAAAAATTCCCACAGCATATCTCAATTTGAAAATGATTTCTTCTTAGGAAGTGAGCCAAGGGTCAGCCCCTTGGAGAGCAGACAAGCTCCTTGTCCTCTGCTCTGATGAAGGACTGTGACACAGAGTGACCTCCTTACCTTTACCTGCTGGGTTCCCCTGAGTTTAAAGGCCCAAGTCCTGCCTGCGAGGTCCAGCTGTTGGTGGTTCACCAGGATTAATTCCACCCCTCCCCACCTTTCCGCCCCTCTGTCCTTGCAGGAGCCAACAGTTTGTCTGTGGATTGTGGCAGTAGTCCATGTGTTCTGTGACTCTGTGTATGTGTATGTACACGTAATTTGCCAGTCTGAAGAGCAGAATTTGGCTGGAGTTCTACTTTTTTCCAGGAACTCTACAGCATTGACCCACACGTGCTTCCCCTTTGACTACCTACAGTGCAATAAGCATTTGCTAAGTGCCTTCCAGTGTGCCAGGCTTTATGTTCAGGGCTGGCTTTACCAAGATAAAGAAGACAGTGGTCCCTGCCCTCTACTGTGGAGCTTGGGAATGGGTGGGGGTGTGTGTGTCTGCAGCTAGACTCCATCCTCAGCCCAAGGCATGGAGAGGGCATCGTTCCTTGACCTTGACCTTCACGTTTGCTGCTGCTGATAGGGAAGGAGGAAAGCAGGATAGTTGGGCACATGAGTAGCTTGAGTTCTGAGAGGAATGTTTGCCAATATATTTCTTCTGCTGCTTATTCAAACAAACTTACTGGAGCTTTCAGATGGAATAGGGAGAAAGTGAGGGCTATCTTTCCAGCACCTGTCTGTCCATCCACACTGGGACCCTCTGCATGGTATATCTCGGTCATGATGGGTTCCACCCTCTGTTTCCCTGGTCACATCTGTAAAATGGAACTTAGCAAGATGGCCTTCCCTGCATGGGACACGCTCGACCTGGCTCTCTCCAACCATGGCTTGGCTGGGGGGGTGCATCTCTGGAACAGTCCCTCCACCTCTGCCCCACACAGCTTTTGGCAAGAAGGAGATTAGGGGAAGTGAAAACATGGGCTAAAGGATTGGGTTTAGCTTTGTAGGGGTCAGTAGGAGATGCCAGCCTGGTGCCCACATGTGATCAAGGGAAGGATGGACAATGTTGTGAATGCCTGCTGACCCATAAGTTTGGGTGATTTTTGTCTACTGCTTTTTGGCTTCCTTCCCTGAGAGATTTCCTTCCCTGAGAGGATTGAGTAACTTGTGACTTATACAAATATGACTTAGCCTCAGTTATTCAGAGATCAATGGAAAACCCCAACCAGGATTTATCCAGGTTCCTTCATCCCTTGACCTGATTCTCTTCCCAAATGGTGTAGGGTAAGAAAGGCTCACCTTGCTTGTGGGGAGGTAAGAGCCTCAGAGGCTTCCTTTAACTGAGGCTTGGTGATGCCCCAGGGACTTGCTGGTTCTTCCTCCTCCACCTGCCTGCCCTGGGTCGGGTGTTACAGACTTCTGTAACTTGGATATGACCCCAGGTTCAGTAGCAAAACTATGTCTTTTAAATCTTCCAGGATTCATACTGAACTTGTTTGGGGGAAATTTAAGCTTCCATAGTTAATGATACTATAATTCGAACGTCTACTTTTTCTTTAAATTTGAGAAATTTACAAGTGCTTCTTGGATCACCAAAAGGTCTTGGTTTTTCTGTAAAATGAAGTAGGCATAAAAATCAGGTTTCGCCTGAGTTTTTGCTCCTTTCATGCCATGACCCTACCCACCAAGACCTTCACATTCTTCCATTGTGGGGCTAACTCTCCTTCTCAAGATCTAATCCTTGAACCTCATGGTTAATCTCATTTAAATTGTTCACCTCCCAGATGACGGGCCGGGACCTTGTCAAGGATCGAAGTCTGAAACCAGTGAAGATTGCGGAGAGTGACATTGACGTGAGTGAGCAGGGCAACAGGCTGACCACCCCCCCTGCCCCGACCCACCACCCCCGGCTGGCTGCCTCCCCCCAGAATGGAGGCCGGCAGCTTCAAGCAGGGCTCCGTGGTTCTGTAGCCAAAGACTTTCTGATCACTCTTCAAGATCATGCCCTTTTCTCATCACCCCAGGTTCTTTCCAACCTGTTCTTGTTCACAGGTCAAACTGAGCATCTTCTGTGAACAAGACCGGATCCTCCAGGACTTGGAAGACAAGATCCGAGCCCTCAAGGAGAACAAAGTATGCACCGGTTTTGCATAATCTTGGGCTGGGTGTAGGGGGGTTTTGTCATGCTGTCTTTCCTCAAATATAGATTGAATTCTCATGTCACAGGTATTCATTTATCCAGAACAGGTGTTAGTTTATTCAGAACAATGTGTTCGCTTCCAGGGGCATTTGTATCTAAACCTGGAGGAAATCTTATGGGGAGACTTCGGCTCTGCTTATTCCAAGTGCCACCTACCCCTCCTCCACCTGAATTATGCTCTGGCTTATCTCTCCTCGGGGCCCCCATGAAGTCAGCCCGGGAGAGGAGGGCTCTGCTGGCTGAAATGTGGTGACCCCAAGCCCCTGAACTGCATGGAGGAGGGCTGCCTTGGAGAACGTAGCCATGTCGCTAACAGGACAGAGGCTGTAATTTCCTAAAGCTATTTCCTCCCAGGATCTGGGCTATGGAGGAAGCAAGCCTGGATGGGAGGGGAGGAATAGGCCAGGAGCTGCCAATGTTTGGTTTCTTAGATCCTTAGTGTGATTTTTTTTTTCTTTTTTGAACTTCAGTAAAGCACTATATTTGTGATGGTAAAGATTCATAACATGCCCTTTTCACCAAGAAAACTTAAGAAGAGAATTTTCCATCTACTCTTTGATGTATCCTCATAGTTTATCCCATAAAGAGTGGATGACCTTATGCCCACTTCACAAATGAAGAAACCGAGGCACAGAGATGTTAGGTGTCTTGTCCCAGGAGGCCACTCGGTGGGCAGTGGGCCCTTCAGCCTCAGTTAGATCCAGCAGGTTTGTTTGTATCCTGGCATGGGATGGGGAGGCCTCCAGGGACTGTCCTGCTATCCTCTTGTTCTTTGACCCTTGCTCCGTGTAGGACCAGCTGGAGTCTGTGCTGGAGGTATTGCACAGACAGATGGAGCAGTACCGAGACCAGCCCCAGCACCTGGAGAAGATTGCTCACCAGCAGAGGTTGCTGCAGGAGGACCTTGTCCACATCCGGGCAGAGATCTCCAGAGAGTCCACTGTGTGTAGAGGGTGTGGAGGGTGGAAGACACTCCCCTCCCCTCCCCCCTCCCCCAAGATGGGCTGGGCAGGGGGCTGCTTCTCCTGTTTCACAAGCTGCAGTTGAGTTGGTGACCAGGGACATGAGTCTTGGAGCAGCAGAACTTCTCTAGGCTGCCTCCTGAGAGTAGTTCACCTTGTTTGGGGGTGACACGTCTGTCTCTGCTGGTACCTCAGGATGCTTTCCATCAGTGACTCCTGTATGGCTACAGGGGCACCCAAGGGACTAGATTTCTCAGAACAGGCTCTTCTCCTGAACTGTGTGCAGTTAATTCCCAGATGTCAGAATTTCTACTTTTTAAATTTATCCATCTGATGTGGTGCAGGCCCTTTCTTCCAGGGCTGGGAACCAAAGCATCTCCAATGGTGGGAGAGGGGACAGACAGTTCAGGTGGCCAGGGTCAGAGCAGGAATGAGAAGACAAGCCCTGTCTCTCTCCTGCCACGCCTGGCTGAGACCTGCTGGGCTCCCCTTCCCTCCTGCCCTGGCTGGGTTAGCAATGGTCAGGCATAGAGGTGCTCAAGGGGCTATCTGGGGGACAGGGGATAACTAAGACTCAGGAGCATTTCCTTGGCCAACAGGAGATGGAAAATGCCTGGAACGAATACCTGAAGCTGGAGAGTGATGTGGAGCAGCTGAAGCAGACTCTGCAGGAGCAACATAGAAGAGCCTTTTTTTTCCAGGTGACCCATGGGCTCTTCATCCCTTCTGATCTCTGTTCCTTCTGAGAGCCTTCACCTGTGGGGCTGTGAGCCCTGTGAAGTGGCCTTTTTTTCTTCCACTGGGATTCAGCCTGCTTGCCCCCCAAGCTCTCCCTCGGGGATCCCTTCCCCCGCCAGGCTGTGATGAAAAAACTCACCTTAGCACCCCCTAACTCTCTCCTCTGGAAGGCAAGTTCTTGGTGTTTTTGTGACGGTTTTACTATGAATCATTTAGAGCAAACAGCCCTGAGAGGAAAGAAATACCAACCTGAGAACCTTACAGAGACTTGAGAATAAGCTATGTTTCTGTAATTCTCGGCCCCATCTTTGCGCTACTCACTTAGCAGCAGGAAGCCCTGCCTCCATCCTGCCTGCCTGCCTTTAGTTCCTGAAGTTAGATGTTATTAGTCCTTCACGGAGGAGGTAGTGTGAATCTAGGTGCATCTCAATACCTCTGGGCTCTGGGCGGTCATTGCATTTCTTTCTTTCTTTCTTTCTTTCTTCTTTCTTTCTTTTTTTTTTTTTTTTTAATTTTTTTTTTTGGCCACTGCCCAGTGATGGCTTTTGTTCTCCCCAGTTGGCTCTTCCAATTGTCCAGTGTTTCCCCATTGTGGTGGGGATTAGGTTTCTGCCCCACCCTAAAATTTTTTAAACATGGAAAATAACCTTTTTATGAACCCAGCTTCAGCGCTACCATAGCTCCTCTGTCAGAGTCCTGACATGAATTCGATTTATGTGAAATCAGTAAGCATTAATTGAGAGACTTATTGTACATGAGGCATCACGCTAGGCTAATTTTGGTACTAAGCTTGCTAATCTATGAACTAGTTCTAGCCAAGGCTCTTCCTTCAAGTGATTTCATGAATATAGTGATCTGAATGTCAGCCTGCCCAGAGAGCAAAGGAATTCAGGGGAGGGATTAGGTATTTGACCTGGGAAAAAAGCCTGCTGTCTCACCTTTGGGAGCTGATTCCCAGAAAGCCTGGTCCAAAGCCATGTGGAAAAGACTCTTGCTTGCCTGTGGCTCAGGGCTGACCTGCTGGTTCCCCCAGAAGTTGTCTGTCTCCTGCTGCTATTGTTTTTTTCCCCCCTATAATTTCCATGTATCCAAGCTAACATTTTCTTATTTTTGTTTTTTGGTACCCCAGCACTTGGCATAGTGCCTTGAAAATATCAGGTGAATTTTGTTGACAGTGTCCTTCAAATGATTATTTCTAGTTACTAGTTTCTTAAACTGTTCTATCCCATTATTACTCATCTTCTTGGATCTTCTTTAATTAATTTTAGCAGTGATTTTTTTCTTTTTTTTAAGCTTTTTATTCATTGTTTTTCTATAACTATAAAAATAACACATGAATGCATCTCTCTGAAAAGGCCAAACAGTAAGAAGGAAAAGCAAAAAATGAAATAAAAACTCCTCTGCCTCTCTTCCTTCTCTGCTCCAGTCCTGTCACCTGCCCCATATGTAATCAGTGTGTGGTTTTGCCTTCCACACCATTTTTGTGTGTTTTTAATCATATACCCATCCATAGAATCATTTAATTTATTTGGGAGCAGGAGTTGGGTTTACTTAAAGAAGAATCATACTTACACATTGTTTGGTAACTTGCTTTTTTGTGACAACTTTATGTTGCGGAAATCTTTCTGGAAAAGATCTCTCCAAGTTTATGTTGCCTGATACAGTGGCTATTTAAATGTAAACATAAATTAGTTGAAATTAACTAAAATTAAAAATATATTCCTCAGCCACACCAGAATCATTTCAATTGCTCAGTAGCCATGTGTGGCTACTGATTGGACAGTACAGATTATAGAAGATTTCCATCATCTCAGAAAGCTGTGTAAAGTAAAAGAAATTAGTTCTTAGCTGCTGAATAGTATTTCATGCACAGTATTTCATAGTACTTTAGTCAGTCTTTTCTGATGGGCATTTAGGTTATTTGCAGTGTTTTGCTTTTATAAATGGTACCACAATAAGCATTTATGTAACTGCCTTTTCAAGCTCGTTTATAAGCACTTGGCTAAGATAGACTCCTAGGGTGGACTTGCTAGACTGAAATGAGTGTACATCTTAAATGTTGCTGGAGGCTGCCCAGTCACCCTCGGAAAGGCTGCACACATTTGCCCTCCCACCCTCAGTGAATGAGGGTGTTGAACTTGTTTATCCACATCCTCTTCAGTATTTGATATTATCAGTCTTTTTGGTTTTTGCCAGTCTGCTGGCTGAAAAAGGGCATCTTGTTTCACTTTGCATTTATTTAATTACAAGTAGGTTAAACATTTTTTTATATGATCATTGCCATTTTGTTTCTATTATGCCTTATTTCATGGTGATTTAACATACAGCAGTCCCAGAATCCCTTTTTCTGCTCCAGAAAACAAATGGGTACAATGTACAAGTCTCATCAAAGACTCCCTGAAGAACTTAACCATGTAAGTTATGAGGAGCAAGGCTAGTTTGAAGCCTAGCCCCTGCAACGTGATTTCCACCTCGCCTGGTGCGAGCATGGTGTTGCTCATGCTTTCCCTGACTCCCTGATCTGGAAAGTGCACCTGGCCCTTCTTTGAATAGGCTTTGTGCTAACTTCTTTGGTGTAATTCTAGGCCAGGCAAGCTGTTGGAGTCCTGAATAAATCATTAACAGTGGAGATATGTGTGCAGCCCCATATATAAATTCTCAGGAACAGGGCTTGGAAACGTGCCTCTCTTTAGCCAGGTCTGGCTGTGAGAAAATTCACAGGCTTTTCTTTATAAAGATCCTTATGACTACCTGCATAGGGAAGCGAAAGGATAAAAGGACATTGAGGTAACTGTGGGAGGCAGTGACAGATGAGGCTGCCTGTATGTGGCCCTGCTGTATGTGGTGCCTGACAGTAAGTTTAGGCGTTTGCTGAATGCAGTACATAGGAGCCTCTCTGCCCAGCATGGTGTGAAGATCCAGGGATAAAACACCACCCCCTGCTCCCCAAAAGCTTCCTTCACCTTGTCATTAAGTTCTGAAATTCCATTGTCCTTGGAGAACCTTAGATGTTCACTGGCTTTTGCTTGTCCTTGCTCTTCTCTTCTCTTATATGTGGGCGTGACAGAAAGGCAAAATGGGGGCAGGACAGTGAACTGGCAGGTAACAGTATGCCAGGTAGACTGCTGGAGGAGAGGGGAGAGTTGATTTTAATCCAATGCTCCTACTTTACCTGTTCCCAGCACTCTGCTCAGGGGCCTCCACTCCTGAGATAATCCTGTTAGCTCGCATGCTCTCTCTCTCTCTCTCTCTCTCTCTCTCACTCCCTCTCTCTCTCCCTGGGTTCAGTACCGTGTCTGTTTTGGAACACTCATGCTTTGGTGTGAAGCTGAGCATCAAGCCTGTTCCTTGGGTATTGGCTCTGAGGATGTGTTTTGCTGTTGGAAGGGTGGAGAGAGTATGAGAATGTGAGCTCCCTTAGGAGGGAGGCTTCGGACATCTGTTATCACAGCTGTTGGACAGCATTTGATCAGGGAATTTTATGTTATTGGTCCTTTTTGCACTCACCATACATGTACTGAGAACCTGCTGGGTACCCAGGCCTGTGGCGATATACCGAGGGTATATAGTCTACTTGCAGGATCAGGCAAATCCATAAGTATCACACATACAAGAATTCTTCTACTTGAGAGTACTTGGGTGCCTTGAGAGGAGATAGGGTGTGAAGCCTTTGTGTTTAAGTCCATTGGGAGTGATCAAGGCTGAGTTCTCTCATGACGATTTAAAAAATAAAAGAATATTTGATGTTTAAACAACTCTATTAAAAGGTGCCCATAGGTTAATATCCAAAATAGGACTTATACAAGTCAATACCAAAACAAAACAAACCAAAAAAAAAAAAAAAAAAAACACCCTCCCCAGGGAACAAAAGACATTTAAAAATGGGTAGAGGATCTTAATAGATATTTTTCCAAAGAAGATATACAGATGGCAACAGACACATGAAAAGATGGTCAACATCACTAACCATCAGGGCAATGCAAATTAAAACCACAATGAGATCACCTCATACCTGTCAGAATGACTAAAATAAAAAAGACAAGAAATAAATGTTAATGAGGATGTGGAGAAAAAGGAACCCTCATGTACTCTGGGTGAGAATGTAAATTGATGCAGCCACTCTGGAAAACAGCATGGAGGTTCCTCAAAAAATTAGTAAAACCATATGACGATTCCAACAATTCCTGTACTGCGTATTTAGGCAAAGGAAATAAAAACACTAATTTGGAAAGATATATGCACCCTATGTTTATTGCAACATTATTTATAATAGCCAAGATATGGAAGCAAACTAAATGTCCATGGATAGACAACTTTCTCAAGAAGGTGTGTTATACACCACAATGGAATGTTACACAGTTCTAAAAAACAGCTCATTCCATTTGCAACAACATGGATGGACCTAGAGGGTATTATGGTAAGTGAAATAAGTCAGACTAAGAAAGACAAATACCACATGATTGCAGTCATGTGGAATCTAAAAAACAAAAGACTAAAAAAAAGCAGAATCAGACCCATAACACAGAGAACAAACTGATAGTTGCCAGAGGGAAGGGGGTTGGGGGCGATGCACAAACAGGTGAAGGAGAGGGGGAGGTACAGGCTACCAGTTTTGGAATGAATGAATTGTGGGAATAAAAGGCACAGCATAAGGAATATAGTCAATAATATTGTAAATGCGTCGTATCGTGACAGATGGTAGCTACCTTGTGGTGAGCATGGTGTAAGGTTTGGAGAAGTCGAATCAATATGTTGTACACCTGAAACTAATGGAACATTGTGTGTCAACTATATACAGTAAAATGCCCACAGTCCCTTAATCATGATAAAACCTGCTCACCTCTTTCTAGGACCTCTCCCCATCTGATTTCGTTTGTGACTTGTCGGAGTGTGCATATGCTCATGTAGCCTGGCTCTTTTCCCATTGTACTTTTTTAAAAAAATAAATAACAGTTTTATCACATAATTCAGATACCATAGAATTCACCTTTATAAAGTTTACAATTCAGTGGTTTTTAGAATAGAGTTGTGCAGCTATCACCACAATCAATTTTATAACATTTCATCCTGAAAAGAAAACCCTCTGTCTGTTAACAGTCACTTCCCATCCACATCCCCAGCTCCCCAGCCCTGCTCCAACCAACTGCTATTCTGCTTTGTGTCTCTATGGATTTACCTATTCTGGACATTTTGTGTAAGTGAAATCATATAAAATGTGGCCTTTGTGTAGCTTTTTTCATGTGGCATAAACATTTTCAAGATCGATCTGCATTGTAACACGTATCAATACTTTATTTCTTTTTATTGCCAAACGTTCACTGCCCATTATGCTCTCAAATGAACCTCAAATCCCAGGATTCAGCTTTGTCTTTTAAAAGATGTTCTTTATATTCTGGAGATAGTGTAACCTCTAGTCTTTGCCTTCTCTTCCCTTTTGCCCTGATTGCCTAAAAAAGTATTTTTAAAAAAATTATGATAAAATATGCATAACGTAAAGTTTATGACCTTAGCCATTTTTAGCTTATAGTTGAGTAAAGTACATTCACATTGTGCAGCCAGTTTGCAGAACTCTCTTCATCTTGCAAAACTGTGACTCTACCCATTAAACAACAGTCCTCATTCCCCTCTCCATCCTGGCCTCTGGTAACTACTCCTCTGTCTCTGACTTTGATTGCTCTAGATACTTTATAAGTGGAAGCATATAGCATTTAAGGCAGTCTATTTTTAAATTAGGGAAGCTAGCCAAGGCGACTCGGAAAACTCCTCTGAATTTTTCCCCTGGATCTTGAGGAACTTCTATATGTGTGCTTCCCTATGAAGCTCCAAGGCAGGCTTGGCTCTAGGCCTGGTGGGGTTTCCAATGGGGTTGCTGCCCCCCAGGGTGAGGAGCTATGTCTGAAATGACAGCATAAGTCCTAATGAGAAACTTCTGGTAGGTGCTAAGAAGTGAATGAACCACCATCTTATCTTTCTCAGGAGAAATCGCAGATACAGAAGGATCTCTGGAGAATTGAAGATGTCATTGCAGGCCTGAGTGCAAATAAAGAGAACTTTAGAATCCTGGTAGAATCAGTCAAAAATCCAGGTGAGTGGGCCACCTTCCTGGGGGCAGGGAGTTGGAGGCCAGCACCCATGTATATGGGCTGGCCCTTGGGGACGTCAGGTCTTTATGGCATAAGTCACTCCCCTTGTCCTCCAGGGAAGAGAGTCTTTGTTCCATCCCATCCTTTGTTTCTGTCCATGACCCTTAGAGAGAAAAACGGTGCCTTTGTTTCCTCACCCGCCTGTGCCTTCACTCTCGACTCCTGAGAGCAAGCCACCCCCACAGCCCAGCCCTCCCACCAGTCCTGTGCGGACCCCTCTGGAGGTTCGACTCTTCCCCCAGCTGCAAACCTATGTGCCGTACCGACCTCATCCACCCCAGCTGAGGAAAGTGACATCCCCTCTTCAGTCACCAACCAGGACGAAGCCCAAAGTCGTAAGTATAGATGACCAGGAGCTCAGTGCTTTTGTCTTCTCTCTGGGAGATGATTGTCTCTCTGTGTCCGCAGGTCAGCTTCTTTTGGAGAAACCCGGGGAGACAGAACCAGCCAGAGTCCTGAGCTATGAAATGTTAAGGAGTGGTAGAGCCAACTGTTGTACTTTAGACTCCCAGAACTGGAAGAGCCCGTAGAGAGGGTCTAGCCCAGTCTTCCCATTTTGCAGTTGGAAAAACTGAGCCCAGCAGGAAGAAGTTACTGTGCTAAGTAGGATGGAATTTGTGATCTGCATCATGCAGAGACAGGTGGCTGCCCCATGCAGGACTCCATGCAAACCTGCAGTTACACAAGCCCGTGGGTGATGGAGTACTCTCAGCAAAAGAGTATCTTTGTCTTCACCGGCAGTTGAGCATTCTGCTGGGTTATAGGATACAGCTGATCTTCACAATGACCTCATGGAGTTTAGACAGGAAGGTCTGTATCCTATCCCACACCTAAGAGAACTGAGGCTCAAAGGTGTTAACATTTACTTAAGGTCTCCATATTAGTGGGTCCAATCCACACGTCCTGTTCTTTGTGTCATCCGCCATCTAATTGGATGTTTTGCCCAGCTCCTCAGATCGAGTCTGTGGCCCATATGCTTGCCTGAGCCAGCACCTTGGCTTGCCTATCAGAGAGAAGGGCCAAGCTTTTGACAGAGTCTGGGAGCACAGGAAACTTTAAAGAGAGAGAAAATGTGGACAGGTACTGTGATGGCTCACGTCTCCAGCACCAGGCCAGCCTTGGCTATAGAATACGAGGGATCTGGTCCAAGTGACAAGGAGCCATAGTGGAGGGGACCTTGGAACGAGGACCTTCAGGTTTTGCCAGCAGAGGCTTAGAGGAGCTTTGTCTGGAGACAGGGTATGCCTAGGACGTCTGACAAGGTTGATATCCAGTGCTGGCCAAAACACACAAGTTCCCATACCCTGGATCTCGCTGTCCAGCTGCTTCCAGCCATAGCCCAGGGCCCATAGCTGGAAGACAGGTGCTGGGACTGAGTCATCGTGAATTTCTTCACATTGAGGTCTCCTTCCCAATTTTATATCTAAGAGGCAGTGGGGTGCCAGCCACCAAACAGGAGGTGGGAAATACAGCAGGAATGGCTAGGGCACACAGCCTCTGACTTAAGGCAGGATGCCTGCTAGCAGGGATGAGGAGCAGAGGGAAAAGATGGTAGCTTAGGAGCTGGATGGCCTGGATTCCATTTCTTGTCTCACTGGATCCTTGGTCAAGTCTCATCCCTTCTCTGGGCTTCCTCAGTTTCCCTTCGTGCACAACAAGCAGCTTAGAATAGATGGTCACAGAGGCTCTTCACAGTTGAGTCCTCTGTGGCCCACAGGCAGGGCTTTTCAACTTGGCTGAGCATCAGAGTCACCGGGTGGGGGGCGTCTTTTTTCCCTTTGTTCACCAGGTTTACCATTGGTTATTATTGTTTGTTTTATATTTGTCCTTGTGACACAGTGATATCCTGAGATTGATATTAAACATGAATATATAATTTAACAAATAATAAAGAGACCACCCATTTATACCAACACCTAAACCAAGAAACAACTTTGTCAGCAACTAGACACCTCAGGCCCATGAGTCCTTTTCTGCCTGAAGTAACTATTATCACTATCTTGACTTTTTGGGTAATTTCTTTGCCTTTTTTTTTTTTTTTTTAATTTTGCCTACCTATGTCTAAACACTTGAGTTGTGCCTGTATGTGGTACTGTATTCTTTTGTATCTTGCATCTTGTCTTCAACGTTACATATGTGAGACTTGTCCACGTTGTTGCGTGTAGCTATAGTTCTTTCATTTTTATTTGGCTTATTCTCTTGAATTTAATGTTACTTTTTAAAAAAGGTTTTTATTTATGTATTTGAGAGAGAGAAACAGTGCCAGTGAGAGAGAGGACAAGTGTGTGTGTGGGGGGGAGGGTAAAGGGAGAAGCAGACTCCGTGCCAGGACTCTGGGATCATGACCTGAGCCAAAGGCAGATGCTTAACAGACTGAGCCACCCAGACACCCCTGTCACTTTTCTATTAGATAATATTCTCAAAGGGTACAAAATCAAAAGATACAGAAAAGTATATAATAAAATGTCTCTTCCCACCCTCCATCTCCAGACATTCTATTCCCTTCAGTCAAAGGCAGTTTTGTGTTTGCGTCAATGTTTTGTGTTTATCTTTCTGGGGAGCTTTTTAGAAATTGGTGATTCCAAGACCTTGTCAGAGTTGGAAACCGCTGATGTTCAGAGAGCCTGTGGGTATCTGGGACAGGAGACTTAGCTTTCAAACAGTAGTGAATTGTGTCATTTTGCTAGAATGCTGATAAACCTCCATAGAGCAAGCTTCAGCATCCTTTCCTGACCTTGCCAAAATTCTGAAAAACAAAGAGAAACTAAGGAAGGAGGGTGGTTAGGAAGGGGTGCCAATGGTCCCTGGTTCCAGGAGTGGGTGTTCACGGCAGTCAGGGGCCAGGCTGTCGGTCTGTGCAGAAACCACAGCCCTCAGAGAGCATTTATTAGGGGGCGAGGAGTCAGTTTCAAGGAAAATAGTTACATTCATTACCACCCAGGGAGTGGGCTGCCAGGAAGGCAGTGAGTCACCCGCACTGACTGCTTATCCAGTCCCTTAGTCAGGAAGGAGGAAATATTTTGTAACCACGCACATTTCTGATAGAAAGGGCAGGGGATGTAGACTGTCCTTGCTCAGATCCCAACCTGTTGAAGGATCCAGAGACCATGCAGGGACAGTGAGCCAGCTCGGTCTGAGAACTCTGGAGTGGGGTAGATGTTTGTCCTCCAGGTGGTGTGGAGGGCTAGGGGTGCTGCTGTTGTAGAGATAGGACTAAGTAGACTTACCGGCCCGCTCCCCCCATGGGACACTTCAAGGAGTGGAGTACAACCTTGGACACAGGAGAGCGGAGTTCTGGGTTTCGTATAGGTAACGCAAAACGGAAGGTGAGTGAATCAAAGAGAAGAATAGGATTAGAGCAGAGGCATCCCCCTTCCTCACAGCTCATCCAGGGGAAATGCTGGCATCGCTGGGCTGAAGTGGTCGTGCTCTGCAGGCCTGAGGTGGCCTGCTCCGGCCTTTTGGGCCACCCCTGTGGTGGTGCCACTAGGCATCCTCCCTCTAGCTGCCTCTCGCCGGGCACTGATTCTAGTTCTTTTTCTGAGCAGGAAGATGAGGCGCCTCCCAGGCCCCCACTCCCGGAGCTCTACAGTCCAGAGGACCAGCCCCCGGCCGTACCACCTCTCCCGAAGGAGGCCACCATCATCCGGCACACCTCAGTGAGAGGTCTTAAACGGCAGTCAGACGAGAGGAAGCGAGACCGGGAGCAGGGGCAGTGTGTGAATGGGGACTCACGGGTGAGCGGAGAGCGAGCCCCGGTGGCCTTGCTGCGCGAGGGAGGGAAGGTGGCGGGACACTGGGCAGGTACGACAGCCTCAGACTCTGCCCGCAGGTGGAGCTTCGGTCATACGTTAGTGAGCCCGAGCTGGCGACTTTCAGTGGGGACATGGCCCAGCCCTCCCTGGGACTAGTGGGCCCCGACAGCAGGTACCAGACACTGCCAGGCAGAGGTAAGGCAAAGCTGTCCGCGGAGGCTTTCTGGGAACCCCCGCTCCTACCATACCACTGCTCCCCAGTCTCTGACCTGGTCCCTTGCACCCTTCCACCTGGGGCTTTGGGCCTCAGTGTGGGCAGCAGCTGTCAGGGAGACTCTGGGCTGCAGGGAGGGCGCGTCCTTCCGTCCTCTGGCCTACATCCTGATTCTCTTCCTCTTTTATTACATCTGCCCCTGGAAATAATAATAATAGCAATTACTTCAAAGCACATCACTATGTTATGCTCTGTATTGACCTAGCTAATCTCTATAATAATCCTGTGAAGGAAGTACTATTATTATTCCCATTTTAGAGATAAGAAAACTAAGACTCAGAGAAATTAACTAACTTGCCAAATGGCCAACAGGTGATGGAGTCAGAACACAACCCCAGTGTTCTGTCCCAGAGCCACGGCACCCTGCAGGTTGGGCTGTTAGGTGACTGCCATCAATTTGGCAGTCTCTGGCTTTCCAGTGGGTTTGTGCTCTCCTGTGTCACTCTAAGACTCCAGGAGTCCTTTCTTCAAATAAACACACCTTTCTCAGTTGGGGTTCCTCCTCACTGCCCTCCCCTATCCCTTCAAGATGGGGGTGAGAACAGACTTAGGCCCTTAGGCTCACCTATACCTCCTTTGTCCCCACAGCCAGACTATCTCCTCAGAAATCCCATTACAGGGAGGTCTCCTGACCTTTTTGCATCTGGGTCTGCTGGAATCCCTGAGCAGCCTGACTATCTCCTTCATTTGTTCCCCACCTGATCCTCCTGTCTGCTCCCCAAAGTGGGCAGTCAAGTGCTCTGTTCACTGGTCAGGTGCAGAAGCAGGAGGAGCCACAGCTATAGTTCTGGCACCTACAGGGTTATGGGACTCCAGCCCACCACACTGCCTAGGCATGCTATGCCCTGAGCTGGTCCCTGGAGGGTGCAGGCTCTGGATTTTGCTGAAGCACTGTGCACAGGGATGCTGTTCCCTTAATTCATTATGGCCTAGAGGTGTTTATTAACGGTGGTATTAGTGGCATTTGGAGCAGGACAGTTCTTTGTTTCTCAGGATTCTCTTTGCATTGCAGGGCATTTATCATTCTTTTCCCTACATGCTAAATGGTAATGGTGTCCTCAGCCAGTGTGATGATGTCCATTTCTAGATGTCAGGGACTGCCCCTGATAAGAATTGGTGTTAGTGGAGAAAGCACAGGTGGTGGCACCAGCCAGCCAGGGTGAGATGATTTCTCTATGCCATCTCACATCTAAGGATCCAGACATGGAATGTACATGGTCGACGATATTCCTACCATGTGACCTTCGGCAAGTTCCTTGACCTCTCTGAGCCTTAGACTATAATTCTCTACAATGGTTGGGTAATGAATGCTTACGTGGTAAGGCCAGTGGAACAAAATCTATATAAAACACCTAGCACAGTGCCTTCCCGTTAGATAGTTAAGTGATCAGTAAATACTTGGTGCTGCTTCTTTCCTTTCATTGATTTATTCATTCATTCATTCAGCCAGGCAGGCAGGCAGGCAAGCATCACTGAATTTGCAGGCTAGTTGGACAGGTACATTGGCACTGTGGTCAATGCAGTAACCAGTGCATATATTGAAGGATATGCAGGACAATAGATTCTGCTTGGGCATTTAAGAAGGCTTCACACAGGCAGGGCATCCAGGTTGGGTCATGAAGGACGCATAGGAGTGCATCAGGATGAAAGGATGAAGGGCATTCCTTCCCCTTCATCCTTTCTAGCTGCCAAGCAGCCCAGGTCTTCTGCATGTGAAGGAAGACTAGGGTGGTCTACACATCCCCAGAGATGCTATTTCCCATTGGGGACAGGGAGCACCCCTGGGCTGGCCCCTCATCCTCTACCTGGAGCCTTGCTCTTCCAGGCTCTGGGGAGGAAGAAGAATGGGTTATTGGCCAGGTCCTCACGGTCCCCTCTCAGGAGTGGGAGGTGATTCGGAGGGTGGGGGGTGCTGGTAGCCTGTCCACCCCATCACAAATACACTTGCACTTCTCTTTCCTCACTAAGGGCTCTCGGGGTCCACGTCAAGGCTCCAGCAGTCGTCCACCATTGCTCCCTACGTCACACTCCGGAGGGGTCTAAATGCCGAGAGCAGCAAGGTGACCTTCCCTGTGAGTGGCCTTGAGAAGTTCTCAAGGAGTGCACTGCTCCCTCACCCACAGAGGGAAGGGCTCAGAGGTGGATGATGACTGGCAATCCTGTGAGCCCCAGGGATGGCCTCTGAGGTGACTTCAGCGTCTCCTGAGTGCAGGGTCCCTGTCACCATGTGCTCAGTGGATACCTTTCCCATGGCCCACCTAAAAGGGGCCAAGATATATTATGTTCTGTATTCAGAGGGCCTCTCTGCAGCTGTTAGCACAGACACCAAAGGGGTAGGACCCAGGACACTCATATCCTGAAAAGCTGCAAAACCAGTAACTTTTAAACTTTATAAGCAAATGTCATTTGGGGTAACACTGACCTTTTACAGGCATCATACAGCTCTCCCCATTTCTTCAGGCTCACATGAGGGTATCCAGAAAGTGCACCCTGAGTTCTGGCTGCATCACATGCTGCATGTGTGCCCAGCTGGACAGGCCTAGGCCTCAGTATCTGCATCTGCAGAATGGGATGCTCTCCCGAGAGCCTGTGAGGGTCAAGGGTACTGTGTTCATGAGTGTGCTTAGAGGAGTTAGAGTGAGTGAGTGAGTGTGTGTGTGTGTGTGTATGTGAGAGAGGGAGAGGGAGAGAGTGGGAAGATGGGAATGGAGCTGCAGGTGGCTGCCCTGTGTCCTAGCCCAGCTGCCTTGTCTCTCACCCTCCTGCTCCTCAGAGACCCAAGAGTGCCTTGGAGCGCCTGTACTCAGGGGACCACCAGCGGAGCAAGATGAGTGCGGAGGAGCAGCTGGAGCGCATGAAGCGACACCAGAAGGCCCTGGTCCGGGAGCGCAAGAGGACGCTGAGCCAAGGAGAGAGGACGGGTCTGCCCTCGTCCCGCTACCTCAGCCAGCCTCTCCCTGGAGATCTCGGCTCAGTATGTTAGGAGGGTCCAGGCAGGTGGGGCTGGGACGGGGAGCAGAGCTTCCCTGAGTTCCCCAAACACAAGGACATCACACCCCCGAGAGAGTAGGCCTTCGACCAGGAAGGTTCAGAGAACACCCCACAGGCTGTTTTTGTCCACAACCCAGGCCACATGTGTGACCTGGTCAGAGGGTGATCCGGAATTGGAGGAGGAGTGAGGATGTCACGGCAGGAGCCTAGGAGCCAGAGAAAATGTCCCAAGTTTGTTCTCCAAGCTGAACTTGCGAGAGGACTTTGTAGCATTTGGAATCTCAGCTGGATCAAGGACTTGGGAGTACAGAGTTCAGGAATGGAAGAGGAAGATGGTGATAAGATTGGATGAGGAGGAGCGAAAGCCAGCTAGCCTCCCAAACCTCTAAGCAATGCCCTGTGGAGCAACTGGGCACAGGGTCGTCCGTGCAGCCCTGAGGGCGGGCGGTCTCCCCCAGCTTGTGGTGCCAGCAGGCCTCATGGTGCCCCCGGAGAGTGGGGGGGATCTGTGCTGCCCCCCAGCGTGCTTCCAGGCACTGCACCTGCCCACAGTCCCCTTCTGTCCCTTTTGGAAACATTCCATTTGACTTCTCCCTGTTGTTTGAAATCACTGTTTCCCTAGCCCTCTAGCCAGACTGCTCTTTCCCTAATTCATTGCACAAGCTCTTTTGCTTTTAGTGTTACCGCTCATTGCCTCTCTAATCCTGCCTGATTGTGTTTACGGAAGCTTCTAATTTGCATTGAACATTCTTTAACTGGCCTGTGCTCTTTATTACCAGGCTTGTAATAGCAGCTCTTGTCTCCATAGCCTAGCCAGCACTCCCATGTGTGACTCACCTTTCTGCTGCCCCCTTTATGCAGGCCTACTGACTCATAATTCACTTAACCCAAAAGCCTCCCCACAAGGCTGAGCCAACCTGCTGCCTGAGGGCCGTGATCATGGGCAGAGGTCTGGGCATTATGAATTGATCAAAGTCCATGCCTTACACCTGGATGGTAGACACAGACTTCAGAGATCGCACGTTTCAATAAATCCTACCAAGTCTAAAGTGGTTCAGTTTTGATTCCTCCAGTCCTAGCACACAATTTCTTATGGAAAACTTTTTGTGTTTCTAGTATTTAATAATTTGAACGGATGCCAAGATATATTATGTTCTGTATTCAGAGGGCCTCTCTGCAGCTGTTAGCACAGACACCAAAGGGGTAAGACCCAGGACACTCATATCCTGAAAAGCTGCAAAACTGGTAACTTTTAAACTTTACAAGCAAATGTCATTTGGGGTAACACTGACCTTTTACAACCTGATGTCTCAAATGTAGAAAGATTATCTAAAATCGTAACTTGAGTATCTTGTAATTTTTCTCTTAAAAAAAGACTTGTGTAAGTCTCTGCATCAACGCCAATAAACGTGTTGCTTAATGACAATGGATTGGCGTGGTTCTTCCCCAGGATACATCCCAGAGTCTAGTGAACTTTTCCTGTTTGTGCAAACAATCAGGCTGGGTTTAAATGAGGATTTGTCTCTACTTGGGGCACTTGTGAGCGTGTAAGAAAATGTGCATTTTCTTTGTGAATCATTAAATTAATTTTTCATCTTTGAAACTTCAAATGCCTAATCCTTTCATACTGTAATTGGAAATCATCATCTAAGAGCAATTACATTGGCTTGGAGTCAGTATGGAGAGCTTGTGCATGAATGGGTGAAATGTGCTGATATAGCTATGGGTTTGGGGCTTTGGGGGGGACTTAAGGGAGTATCAAAGACAATCATGACCACTGAGGGCTCTGTGAGATGTGTGGAGTGGGATGGAGGAGGTCTGCTGGGATGGAGACGCATCTGCTTGTTTTCTGCTCAAGAAAAGAGAAGCTTTGAGCCTGTTTCCTTCTCTCAACACCCTGCTCAGTTTCAAAAGCCTGTGAGCACATAGGCCATAGAGATTTGAAAGGCGACTGTGGAGTTGCAGAGTTGTGTTTGGATCTTACAATGGCCAGTTTAGTTTTTCCCTCTGTGAAGAGATGCTTGTTTCATAGCTGGTACTAAGGAATAGCCTGGGAAATATTGCATTTGATTTAGCATTTCAATTTTACATGGTTTCATTTTTTTTTCTAACTTCAAATATCTGCCCTCAAATAGATGCCTGGGTAAACAGCAGCTTAGCTACCTCCCTAGGCCCAACCTATTCCTGCCTAGACCTTCCCTTCCCTCTATGGGTACAATATCCCCCACCCCTAAATGTATCCTCTTGGGAGTACCTAGTAGAGAGGGTCTTGGCTATTGGTATGTGCTTACCAGAGCCTCAAAGGGCTTGTTTTTTTCCCATCATTTCTGAGCTGAGATGTATGACTCCTGAACCCGGAAGGCTTCCCCAAGCTATGAAGTAGCTTTTTCTGGATCTCTGTCCCAAGTTCTGTTTTGAGGTCACCCTCTTGGATTTGGAAACCTCCTGTATCTCTGGGGACCAACATGAGTCTAAAGTCATGGGTCTTAGAACTAGACCTCATTCTCCATTTCTCTTACTTGGCCTTCCAGCACCCACAGGGACCAAACATGTCCCACCACTGCTGTCTTGTTTTAGAGGTGAGGTTGAGATGCTCATGGTCACACAGCTTTTCCCTCATGGGTCACAGGCCCCCTTCCCAAGGACCCCAGTGCCTGCAAGCCCCATCCCAAAGGGGACAAGCATGGTTTTCTGAGCAGTCCGGAAGCGACTACATTTAACCTTCTCGTTCTGTTGCCAGTGGAAGCGCGAGCAGGACTTTGACCTGCAGTTGCTGGAACGGGCGATGCAAGGGGAAAGAAAGGACAAGGAGGACAATGGCTGGTTGAAAGTGCAGGCCATGCCTGTCACTGAGTTGGACCTGGAACCTCAAGACTATGACTTGGACATCAGCAGAGAGGTGAGGGCAGGGGCTTCCTTCATGTCCCCCCGGGAGGAGCAGCCTTTATCCGGCTCAGGCTGGCGACCGACCTGACCGGCCCTCCCAGTGGCACTTGGGGGAGGGGGTGCTGTCCAGAATGGGGACAAGTCTCAGTTTCTGTGTGGCCAGGAGGATGGATGCATAGCAGCTCAAGGCAATAAAAGGAGCCAAGGCATTTTGATGCAGATTTAGATCTATTTCTCTCCATAATTGAGGGCAAGTCATTTAACTTCTCTGAGCCTCAATTTCCTCTACAGTAAAGTGGGTTGTGGTGAGGATTACGTAATTCAGCACGTTGCTTGCAGGATTAGCAGTGGTCAAAAAATCAGGAGCACAGGGCCTGGCACATAGTAGGCATGTGATGAGGTAGTTGTTATTGGCAAATGCTCCCCAGAAAACTAGGTGTTGGCCTTGCAACTGGCCAGTCAAGCCAACTTGGGCAATTAGACTTGGGCAAGGCTGGGAGAAGGCGAGCGGGTTTGAAAATCGCAGGTGAAATTTCCAGCCCCTGCGGAGACCTGCGCAGTTCTGGTCTGAGTTCTTCTGGTGCCCTCTGGTGGCACCAATGCATCATGGCTGGCCAAGCCCAGGAAAGCAAGTAACCCCTGGGTCTTCTTTAACTCAGGAATATGTCTTACCCACAGGAAGAGCAAGAAATTAGAGGGTGACAGACTCAGGGTCTTCAGGACACAGGGGGGTCTCCTGAGGCCTATATTGTGCCGTTTGTAAGCTCTGTAGAACGGTCTATGGCCGTTTGGTTCACCGTGCACTTAGCACCTGGCACAGGGCCTGGCATATAGTAGGTGCTCTGTAAGTACTTCCTGAGTGACAACTCTGTTGGATGAAGCTCACAGTGGCGCATAGATACCCCACAAATATTTGTGTAGGACTTGTCGTGCTCTGAAACTACACGAGAGGAAACGTTCATACCACTGGAAGGATGAGCAAATTCACACCTGGGGAGTTGCTGAGTTCTGGGGTCAGCTGGGCCTCCAGGGGTTAAGGAAGCCTGTCCTCACCCTCAGACCTTTTCCCTTTGGCACCTCTGAAACAGCTAAAGGTCTGCATATTCTCAGATTCACACAAGAAGCTTCTACTTGCTGCCTTGGCAGTGGAAGTGTGCTTCATGATGTCCTAATTGGCCTCCCAGTCAGGGGAAAAAGTCCTTTCTTATCTCTAACCTAAATCCCTTCTGCTACAATGCAATCTACTTCCTTCCTCTGTATCTGCCCTCATTGGACATAACAGACAAGAGCTTATTTCTTGCCATCCTTCGCCAGAATAAAAGGTCTGCATGGCTTTAAATTCAAGTCCAGATTTGCCCTGGGATTGGATTTAGCTTGTTTTTAGAAGCTTCAACCAACCTCATTTTAACGTGCTTTTGCAGATCAAGGAGGAAGAAATTCCCTGGGGTGTGCAAAAGTTGCCTTTAGCATTCTTAGCCTGAGCCAGGTTTCAGCAGGCTGGAGTTACTGCTGGGCGCGTGTAGTAGGAGACTGGTGGGAGGGAGTTGGGGCATCTTCCTCTGCAGCCAGTAGATACTGCATGGCTGCTTCCTGTCTAGATCAGAAGAGCTTTTATAGGGGACAGGACGCATTATCACTTCCTTTCATCCACCCACCCAGCCACTATCCCTCTATCTAACCACCTGCACATTCAGCCACCCATCCAAGGAGTATTTGCTGAGTGTCAGGTCCCTGCAGCAGACAGTGGAGAGACAAAACAGGAGGGGATGCCAGGGGCAGGGTGGGGAGGGGTGGGAAGACTTCTGAAGTGTGGTCCAGAGTGTCAGAAAGAGTAGCGTGAACGGAAGAGCATCCCATGCAGAGGAAAGAGCAGGGGCAGAGACCACACGGTGGGTCAGTGGAGGTTGGCAGGGGTCAGCTCATATTGAAGGCGGCATTAAGGATTATCATTGTATCCTGAAGACTTCCAGTCTCGCGGTCTTGCCTTTCCTCTTCCTTTCCACTGGCCTGTAGGAGGTTGTCTGGTGTGGTGGAAAGAACACGGGCTTTGGAGTCAGACCCAGGTCCAGATCCTGACTCCACAGTGGACTTCTGTTGATCTTAGCAAGTTACTTAACTCTGTGGGCTCCGTTTGCTTCCTTGTGCTGGGGGACAGGGCGAGGAGCGAGTCCTAAACCCCATATCTGAGCCCCCTTGCTACCACTGCCCGGTCCTTTCCTCAGCTGTCCAAACCTGAGAAGGTCTCCATCCCTGAGCGTTATGTGGAGCTGGACCCTGAGGAACCGCCCAGCCTTGAGGAGCTGCAGGCGCGGTATCGCAAAGCAGAGAAGATCCGCAACATCCTTGCTCGTTCCAGGTCAGCTCTTACGGTGCTCGAGTCTTGACAGCCTGCTAGGCTGACCCCGGGGGTGTCTCAGCTGCCTGGGCCCTGGGCCAGGCTGACTAGGGTGCATGTTTGCCCAGGTCTCTGACTCAGGTAAGCCGTGTTTATATATATAAGGAGCAGGCTGGCTCTCAGAATGGCACCAGCGCATCTGTGAGGAAGCTTGCTAGGTCATCTGCAAGTCCTAAAATATGCAATAGTGGGCCATCCTGGTCCTTTGCCCCCAGATCTGTGTCTTGTGATGCTGGCAGATGTAGGGAGTGGAGTCAAGTGTGACGGTGAGGTGGACACAGTTGGAGATCAGCCCCAAGGCTGGTCCTCCTGGTGTCAGGGCTGTGTTCCCTCACACAGATCCCAGACCAGAGCCAGGGGCTTAGCCTGGTCCCGGGGTGCCAGAGGCCTTGCCCACTTCCCTGGAGGCCAGGATGGGAGGCTTTCCTACCTCCTCAGCCCCTGGAGCTTCAGAAACATAAGCCCTGATATCTGAGGGCCTCTCTTTCAGAGTTAGGTTAGCTTTTTCATTTCAGGATTTAATAGGAACCCAGAGCTGGAACTCTTTTTTTTAAAAGCCATGATGCCCCAGAGGAGGAACAAAGCTGTGACTGGGTGTTCGAGAGAAAGTGCACTAGGGCAGCCCTCCTCTCCTGAGGCAGATACGAGGGTGCTGGGGGGTGGAGAGGCCCATCGCCTGCTTTCTGGCCCTCCTGCAGCATGTGCAACCTGCAGCCGACCTCAGGCCAGGACCGGAACAGCGTGGCCGACCTGGACTCGCAGCTGCAGGAGCAGGAGCGCATCATCAACATCTCCTACGCTCTGGCCTCCGAGGCCTCCCAGCGCAGCAAGCAGGTGGCAGGTGAGGCCACGGATGCCAGCCTCCAAGTCTGACTACCACTCGCTGCTTGGGCTCAGAGCCCAGCATGGCCTATCAGGGAGTCTGCAGAAAACTAGGTGTCAGCCTTGGTAGTTTGAGGGCCAGCGGTTCGTTCTCCTGTCCCGTGAACACCACAGGGCTTGGGAGGTAAGATGGGACAGGGCAGGTGGTGGGAGAACTGAAGCCCAGGAGTGTCTGAGGAAAGAGGTCCAGGAGAGGGTATTTCTAGCTCATTCTTAAATCTAGGAGTGGTGCTGCTGTTCAGCTTTCTCCAAGAATGTGGGTTAAGAACAGATTTTTCAGGCCTCTGAAAGAGGGGGCCCAGACTAAGATTTCTGGCTTCACGAGAAAGGGGGCAGAAAAACACTGGTGTTTGGATTTCTTGCTGGGGCAAGGCAAGGGGGGCTCCTCTAGCTCTCCCTGGAACTCCTGCTTTCGTTCCCAGATCAAAACCACTGTCCATTTTAGCAGAGTGGTCTGTCTCAGTAAACAGGTCTTGGGAAGTGGGACTTTGCTGGCCAGTGGGATGGGAAAGTGTATTTTGCGTGTGCGTGTGCGTGTGCGTGTGCGTGTGTGTGAAAGGTTTTCTCTCTCAGACAGGAAGGAGACTCGTGGCTGCTCCTCCCTCCACATCTCTGCTCCCTGTGCATGTACTCCCAGTCCATCTAGTATTGTTTGTCCCCAGATGCAGAGGCCACTGTGTGTCTGGGTGGTGCGCTTGGCCAGGGGTGTTGTAGGCCTTCTGGAGAGGGAGTGATCACAGAGCCTGAAGTGGTGTCACAGCCCCCCAGCCCTCCAACCCTGTCCAGAGGGTCTAGAAGTGATGACCGGTGGGGCTTGCTGGGCCCTGAGGTGACTGGCCCTGGAAGTTTGGTCTGGGGAGCAGAGCTGTAACATCACCTCAAGGAGCCAGGGGAGTGACCTTAGGCAAGGGGAAGGCTGTTCGCTGTCCACTCCCACACCCACCCCCGTGCTTTGATCCTGCACAGAAACCCTGAAAACCCTACTGTCCTCACTCCCTTGAAGACAAGCTTCATGGGGTGAGAGGTGGTTGGGGCAGCTGGGGAGACAGTGGAAGACTCACCCTGGCCCCTCCTCCAAATGATCCTGGGTGGTTCCTGTGGCTCATCTTGATTCCTCTCCATGTTGAAGGGTCTAGCAGGGATACTCCGCCACCACCAAAAGGTGCCCTCCTGTCTGGCCTGTCCTTGCTCTACCTAAGTGGGCCTCAGCTCCCTTACTGCAGGCAGTTCGCAAGGCCTCCCTCACCTCCCCAGAAGTGGCCACCTTTGCCACAGCCTTTCCTTACTCTTGCTCCCTCCCTCCAGCTCAGAGGCATATCTGGGACCCTCAGGCCAGTCCCAACCGGGCCCCCACCAGGCCCCATGGGCATGCTGCCCAGGCCCACGGCACTCCAGCCCTGCCAGGTGGGGGCATCTGATGCTGCAGGAGCAGATGAGGAGCCTAACGCCCCACTTAATTCCTGTGTGCCCGTCTAGCGCAGCAGCTGGCCCTCCTCCCGCCTAAAGCCCCCCTGTCCTCCAGGACGGTGCCACCTTACCCCCCCTTAAGCAACGGACTCCACTACACCTTTGTCTAACACCTTCCAAGTAAGAGCCCTGCCTGGCCTGCCCCTCCCCTAGCGCCGAGCATGCCTCCCCACCCCCTCTGCCGCGGAGATGATTGCAGTGCCGCCTGCTGAGCTTCCTTCCTTCACCCTGAAAAGCGGCTGCTGGGGAGGCCGCCCTGGACTGGTGGGTGGATGGGGATGGATGGTTGTTAGGAACCCCATCTCAGTGGCTTCGCTTCAGTAGGGGCTGGGTGAGCCAAGCCCCTGCCTCCCTGAAGTAGAAGCTAGAACTGTACCCCTTCTACCCAGCTCTCTTTCCTGCAGGGAGCCCTGTGCTCCAAGGGACCAGCGCTGGCAGCCTGGGGTTGGGGGTTGGAAAGGAAAAGTTAGTGTCTGCTGGCCTCTCAGGCTGTGGCTAGAGAATTTGAAGAACTGGAAGACTAGAAAAATCCAGGAAACTGGGGCCCAGTGAGGAGTGGAAGCTCACAGGAGGCCAAGTGGAATTGGTGTCAGGGCAAGGATTAGGACTGCCCTTTATAGCACCTGAGCACCTCAGGAGGGGAGAGGAAGGGAAGCTTCAGGGGGAGGCCACCCAGGGCAATGTGAAGTTGGCCCTCAGCCATTCAGAATCTTCTGGCACCACCCCTTGTGGGGCCTCCCCATGAGAGCATTTAGTGATGAGAGCAGAGAGGGGTCAGGGCAGGAGCAGAAGAGGCAGAGCCCGGAGGCCTGGCATCCGGTCCAGTCTTGTGAGTTCGTGGCCTGACAGTTGCCTCACCTGGACAAGGGAGGGTCAGACCAGAAGTCTCAGCAGTCCTCTCCCTGACGTTCCATCTTGCTTTCATCTTGTAGGGTTTCCCTTTCTTTGCTTTGTGCATACTTATGGTTAGCATCGTTGAGTACCTGCCATGTGCCAGGCATTGTGCTAAGCATCTCCTTCAACCCACACAACCATCCTATGCAGATACTTACCCCCACTTTATAAATGAGGAAATGAAGCTCAGAGACCTTGAGGGACTTGCCCAAAGAGTTGAAGCTGTAAGCATCAGACCAGGGTTTGAACCCCTACAGTGCAAGCTCAGAGACTTTGTTCTCTGTCACCACCATGGACTCATCTGGGCCACCCCCAGGAGTTCTAGGTGTCTGGAGAAGGGAGGGACAGAGTGTGTGTGCACTGGGGGTGGGATTCGTGATTTTTCATCAGGTGTCCCCCAACCTGGTGCCCTGCCCACCTGAGGGTAGAAGGAAAGGATTGGCCTGCTTAGGCCGGGCTCTTGGAAAGTATGCCTTAGAGACCCCGTGACTGAAGAACCACAGAGAGATGCTCCAGCCACGTCCTTCGTCAAGGCCATAGGGACGTGTTGGGGCCACAGTAGGAGTGTGGATTTCTCCTGGAGATCTGAGTGTGGTAGCACCAGCCCAGGCCACGGAGACAGAGGCCCCCGTTCCTCCCAGCTTTGCACACCCCCATAGTTGTGAGATAGGCCTTGAATGCTTTTTTCCAGAGTGCATCCGCATTTCCATTTGTCCTCTTGTTAGGGTAAATCTTCACTAGGAGGTGGGTGTGACCATTCTGTTTTTAAAAAATGAGACTCATGGAGGCTGAGAGTGTTACCGAGTCACTTAGTGAGTGAAGGGCAGGGCCAGTACTGGACCCCAGAGTCCTCTTTGCTCAGGCCGTTTGCCCTGTCAGGGCAGAGACCCAATCTAGGGGCCAGCGTCTATCTGGCAAAACTTTCTAGAAGTGGTGGGGGGTAAAGAGAGGGTGGGCCAAGTGCCCATGAGTCCTAGAAGCTGAGGGCCCCCAGCAGCGGCCGCATTGCCCCAGCCCCCAGCTCTGCTGCTCTGTCTTGTCAGCCTGCCGTCCCCTGTCCCCTGTTGTGTGTGTACAGACATGCCCCCTGCCTGCTCCCCAGATGTGGGCTAAGATCCTGCACTTCTCACTGTGTCCTGTGCTTTTTGCCAGCCCAGGCAGTGACTGACCCGTGACCCAGCGTGCAGAGGAGAAGTCTGGAGCCAGGGGCCCAGTGGAACCACTTCCCTCCCAGAAGATTGATCTTCCTTCCCCCCAAGGAAACCCCTTCCAGCTCAGCAGGGGTTCTGGCTGGAGGAAGGAGCAGCCCAGCAACTGTGGGGTGTTCACCATAGGCCTAGGTCCTAACACCCCCACCCCGACTTGTTTTAGTCCAGACTCCTTTTTACATATGACAAAGGCACTTTTGATACACACTGTAAAATACTGACGCTGTATTTTAGAATCAGAATATATTTTATAACGTTCACCTCAAGGGCTGATTGGCTGGAAAGGTGAGGATGCAGGATTTTGGAGCTGCACAATACAGATTCAGGTACTGTTTGGGTGGTAGGTGTGGGTGGGGGAGAAGGGCAGGGCGGGCGGAGGCCAGTCCAACATCCAGTGAACTCAGGTGAAGGTCGGACTTGATCTGTGCTTCCAGGGGAGCCCGGTGTTGGGTTCATTGGCGGGCTATCTGGGGAAAGAGGGGGTCCTTAGCTGCAGAGGTCAGCTGTCCCTGACCTGGCCAAATGACCAGCCTGGAGGGGGAAACTCCACCAGGGTGGCACGGGGAGCCCAGGTCTGTGCCTTGGCCCTTGGGTTTGGTTTAGGGGCAGTAGTGTGTTCAAGAGATTTGGCTCCCAAACTGTTCATGAGGTTCTCTCAACAAAAGGCTCTTCTCAAGAAAAACAGAACAGTTTGCTTTAATTAAACAAACAAACAAACAAACAAAAAATATATATACATACACACTCTGAAATACAGAAAAGGTGAGAAGAAGCACCTTTTATTGTATCATAAGCAATAAACTTCACACTGGGTGGTGTCCACCTAAAACTCCCTGATTCCACACTAGGCTGTGATCGGGCTTTACTGCCTGCCCTGGAGAACCTAGGTCAGCTTCCCCAGGACATGGTCTGGCGGCCGGAGGTCAGGCAGTGTGCCCCCAACATCCCTGATGGCCAGCAGCAGGCCTTTGACTCCACTTCCAGGCCCAAGTGAGGAGCGGACTGCCAAGCCAGGCGCAGTGTTTGTGGCCCTTTATTTAAGTCATGAGCTCACAATATTCTGCATACAGAAAATGATGTCTTAGGGGAAAGACACACACACACACACACACACACACACACACAAAAAAAAAAAAAAAAAACCTCCATTGGATGGGGCCACACTTTAAATGAAAATTTGTCTTTGACTATGGTTGGAAAAAAAAAATCCTAACTATATTTAGAAACTGCTGTCTATTTTTAACTCCATATGCTGCCAGTATCAACTTCATGACATTTGCCAAAATAAGATTTTATTTTTGCCTTTATAAGATTTTGTTGGAAAAACGAAATGAATATTTTGCAAGAAAAAGTTAATTTAAATAAAAGTGTAATGGTTTGCAAAAAAAAAATTGTGATGTACAGATTAAAATATTAACCTGATATGCTTCCTGCTTGCTGGCTGTATTCTCATGAGCAGCCTGTGTTGGTTTTTTTCCAATTCTTTGGAAAATCCCCAGTGTCAGCTCTCGGTCTTGCTTGTGTTCACCTATGAAAGGTTTCTCCTGCTGACAGTTCCTTGACGCTTGATTGACTCTAGAGGTCCAGGGGAAGAAGGCTTTTGGGCCCTTAGCGGGGCTTCAGCGGCTGCTCGCGGTGGCTCCCCACCCACCCCAGCCCGGCTGAGCGGCTGCCAGGCTGCGGACTCCCGCGTGGGGTTGGTTTGGCAGGCAGACTGCAATCCAGGAGAGCAGAAGGGGCGCCACAGGACCCCTTCCAACCCACACGCGGCTGGCTCGTTCCAGTGAGGCGGGTTAGTGACGGACCATTGTAAACTGGATTTGTATTTGATTCGTTTTGACTTGTGATGTAGGCTTAAAACAGAAGCCAGGAGGCCAGTTGAGTTTGGGGATGTGTGTATTTCCAACTTTGTTATTATGGCAGTTTTTCTCTATTACCAAGGAGAGCACCCAGGGTTTAGGGTGACTTTCCAACTCTTTAAACTGGGGAGGATAGATTCCAAAGTATTCTGAACAGGGAACACTGCTGCTTTTTGGCTACTGATCTCTCTTTCAATTTTAAAATAAAAAAACGCTCTGGTTTTGAACATCACTTGGAGATATCTCCATAACAGATGAAAGAGGTTGGGCAGAGGGGCAAAGGGAGAGGGCAGAAATTCCTCAATAACTGAATGCAAAAGTTAAAGAAAAAAAAAGATACAGAAACCAATACCCCCTACACACAGGGTGGCCGTCTGTAGACATAGACATTTGTTCAGCGAAAACACGTCCACAGTTTTCTTACTGTTGGTCTCAGTTTTTCTGTTTCACACATACAATCCTGTGTAGGAGGCAACGTGGCAACTCTGTTCTCTCCAGCCCCAGCCAGGAGAAGGGATAGCCTCTTCTATAACAATTGTCACCCAAACTTCAGTCTACAGAGAGCATGACAGGCCTCCATGAAGAGCACGTGTGGTGTGGAAAAGGCATGCTCCAGCCACATCATGTAGAAGCAGGCAGCATGGCCTGCCACCCCCACCCCACTCCCCACAACCCCCACAAGAGGATTCGTGACTTGAGGTAAGACAGGGCCATCTGTGAAAGTAGGTGCTCGCTGGGGACCCTCTAGGTGGGGACCACTCTGAAAACCAACCCCACGTGGCTTGACCCTTCCAGGTTTGCTTCTTAACCAGGACCACAGGGCCTGAGTGGAGTTTATTTATTAGCTTACTTATTTTATCTTATTTTGGTTTTTTCTCTGAGCAGAGTTTGTAACAATGGGATCATGGTGGATAAATGGGAGCGTTCTGCTCCTGCTTCCATTTGCAGCATCCCCTCCAGGGTCGTAACTTTAACCTGGGCCTCTGTCGAGCCCAGGATGTCGGTCTCATTTTAGCAGGAACCAATGGGAACACTGTAGGATCTCATCTGAAATGGGGGTTGGGAATAATCCCCACTTCAGCTTCCTGAACTGCCCAGATTTGCAACACGTCCAGGGCATTGTTTCAGTGATTAAAGCCGAGGCGTACGGACACTTACGAGTGCTCGTGAAGTGGAGGTACCCAGACTAGTGCAGATGCTGAAAACCTTTTGTTTGCTCCCCATCATTCTTCTACCTGCCTTCGTGTCTGGCTGTGAGAGTAGAAACTTCCCTTAGCCTGTTTGCCTCCCTCTACCCCCTCTGCTATGGTCTTCAGTTAAACTGGGTTCTCTAGAATTGTCCTGGCCATTACAGGTTGCAGGCCAAGGCCAGGGACGCCTCCACCTGCCCAAAGTCAATTTGGGGATGGCAGGGGTGGGAGTGGTTGTGAACGTTGGCTCAGCTAGACAGGGGCCCATTTTGGTCTTTAGGATTTTCCTCCACCCGTGGTTACTGTACTCCGTGGCAAGTCCTTTTGTGTTCGCACCAAGGGTGGGAAAGAAGCAGCAAATTATTTGTCTAATCCACAAATCACATTTCTGAGACATGGTAGGCAAGTTCTGGGAGCCCCCTGCTTCTGATTCCGCATCAGACGCCGGGGTGCGCAGGGGACTTGGCTCACGTGGGCTTCGTGCTGTTATGAAAAGAACAAAGGGACGAGGCCGGGCCGGGGGTGGCTGGGAGAAATGGCAGCTCTCCGGGCCCGTAAACACACCGTTGCTTTGCCGCCTCCACTCCAAAGGCTATCACTTTCATTGCTCTCCGAGCAAAGAAACCTTTCTTCAGAGTGAGTGGCGGGGTACAAAGGCAGAGTACAAAATGTGTGCACATCACAGTCCCTGCAATTCTGTTTGAACAAGCATATTGATTGGGTCTGACCCTGTTACATTTTTTCCCTATTATTTGAAAAGGTGCATCTAAGTGTAGTGAATTGAACCCGCGGAGCTGAACTTTCCATGAAAACTTCTCGAGATATTTCTTTAGTTCAAAGCTTTTGAATTTTAAAGGGCATTTTTAATATGAGTCTGTGGAGTATTCTCTGCCACAGCCCAACAAGGGGTGTTAAATGCAGATGAGGCTGGAGCTGGGGTGCGGGTGGGGGTGGACCTGCCTGCACAGTGAGGGGTGCGGGTCGTGCATGGTTGGAGGGTGCGGACCAGCCCAGGAAGGGCTGTGTTTTGGAGCAGCCCCTAAAAAGGGACCTCTCTGAGCTCACTGGGTACAGCTTAGGGGTCAGAGAAGAGGCTTCCCAGCTGAGCTCCTCAAAGGCTTTTTACTTTTCATGTGGAGAGCCAGCCAGCACTTGCTAAGGGCTCCTCCCGATAAACGTGGGTTTTGGCCTGGTGAGTAAGGGGCTCCTGACTGCTCAGCTGCCAGCTTTCTCCCACACGCTGCCTTAGAACCGAGGGGGAATGAGACACAGTCCCTCAGCTGAGGTCACAGAGTCAGACATGAAGCTTCCATTGTCCTCAGCCCTTGGGTTGACATCACTAATCAGTCGCAGATGCTTTCCCAGAGCCCTGAGCCGCATCTCTATCCTTAACTGACTCGACATCTTGGGGCGTTTTGCTAGTTGTGTGGGCCGTAGCAGTGGTTCCTCTTACCATCCTGGCCCCGGGCCCTGGAAGCTTCCACAGAGTCTCATTTTCCCCACACATAGCAGGGGCTCTCCTGTCCCCGTGAAGACACGCAGCCCCCTTTGACTGAGTCCCTGGCTCACTGTTGGTCCAAATCCCTGTTTGCCTCTGGAGGCCTCTGGGATCTAGAAAGCATCTCCTTCCTAGGTCTCGAATCCAGGTTCAGAGGCAGAATTGTCCCTGGGAGGAGCTGGAAAATTGGGTCCTATGCCGAGAGAATCTAGTCTCTGGGCATCTCAGCAAAACCCTTCTAGGGTCCTTGCCAAACCCCCAGCCTTAGAAGACTATGGCCCGTGGAAGTCAAAAAAGGGTCAGAATCACATTAATAAGCAGTTCTTTGGGTACCTTCTCTGCCCACAATTGTGGGAAGACCAGCCCTCCTCAGATTCCCCCTGCCTAGTTGTGGGAGCCTGCAAGGGGTTTCACATACACGCCATCATTTTCTGTCACTTTCAGGCCTTCTTGCTTTTCCTGTGTTTCCTGGGACCGCGCTAGACAGGTGGGCACACATGAGGTCCCAATGACAATAGCAGCGCAGCTTTCATGGCCTCTGCCCCCTTCTTGCCCACAGTGCGGGTCCTCTGCCCAGGTCTTCTCCGGTCATTTCAGGGAGTCCCCAGGCATATCTCACATGAGTTCACAATAGTCTTGTCAAGTTGGAGCACTTCCACTTGCAGCTTCTTGATACTTTCTGGCCATGAGGCCACTGCCCCTGTGCTCCAGAAGAAATGCCTAGCTTGCAGCCCCCGCCCCAGGCTACAGACCCCAGAAGTGCTGGATGAGGGACTGTCTCTGTGGAGCTCACCCTGGCCAACCCCAGACTGCATCTATACATGAATGGGAGATCTTTCGCTCCCTAATTTTGTGTCTCACGGGCCCCAAAACAGGGTTGTGTGTGCTCTGGTTTACTCTGGGGAGAAGCTGCCTAGAGCTTCTACTCGGGTCCTCCCTATGGGGCTCAGACACATTCTCTAGGTCTCCTCCCCCTGCCTCAGGGGCACACATCCCTCTTTCTGTTGATGTAAACTGACCCCAGACCATGTCTTATTTCTCATGATCTGCAGTCTGGACTGGGCTCAGCTGGGCAGATTTTCTCTGTGTAGTGATTGCAGACATGGGATGTTCAAGTAGGGGCTCTTCACTCACGTGTCTGGCACCCCAGGTAGGAGCTGGCTGGGCATCTCCATCTTTCCACACGGTCTGTCCAGGTGGCTGCTTGGTCTTTGTTACAGCAGGAAGGTCTCAGGGTGGTTGGACTTTGGATCTGAGCTGGCAGGTCTGCAATTGGCATAGAGTCACTTTCTCCCCATTCTCTTGAACAAGGCAAGGATATTAAAGGAGAGGGAATAGACTCTGCCTCCCAAAGGGTGGAGTGGCATACACGTACTGGAAGGGAAGGAATGGACAGTGGCCATCTTTGGAGACTGTCTACTGCAAGATCCTCTCCTCGTTCTCCTTCAGCCACACTGAAGCACTTGAGAGCTTGTGTACTCTCTCCAGCTTTCTCTTCCCTGCAGTGGCCATCAGGAGACACATTTTCTAAATAGTGCAGCCATAAGATGCAAGATAACTGTAACTGGACCTAAGTCTCCACTTGGGAGGGACTCCCCAGGAGAGGCCCCAAGGTCTGCAGCTAACTTTGCAAGAGTGAGGAATAAATGTTGGTTTATCCATCCGCTGGGATTTTAGGCTTTCTTTGGTCCTGTTACATAGTCTTCTTATTCCCATATTACACATGAGAAGACTGAGGCACAGTGGCTCCATGACTAGTAAGCAACTGGGTAGAAGTATGAGTTTGTATCTGACTCCAGAGAGCTTTTAACCATTACACGGGCTGCTATTACCTTGGAAAGAGGAGGTGCCCTGTGGCCCTGGATTCTGGGTCACTTGAAATAGAATTGCTTCTGGTGAGAGCCATGAGCTCATGGATAGCCTGCAGAGAGGCCTACAGGAGAGTGCCTAGCAAGTAATGTGTGCTCAGCACGTGGAAGCTGCCATCATGGCTATGATTGACAGTGAGCTTCTCCTGGAGATCCCACAGAGAGGGGTTACCATGGCATGCTTGACCCGGCCATCTGTCCCTGGACTTTGGGGCTTGGAAACCAGATTTGACAGCACCAAGAGTTGGGCTGTTTCTCAGGGCTATACTCACTGGGCTCAGAAGACAGAGAAAATTGGGTGAGAATCCAACTGCCAGGCCACTAGTGTTCACTGACACACACACACCCTTCCCCAGGCCAAGTCTTTGTTGGAAGGTTGCCTGGCAGTCTTGAGACCAGGGCGATCTTGGATAGTCCTGGTATCACTGAGCTGCATCAGCTGAGGTCCTGTTTCCACTGTAGGGTGCTCCATTCCGAGACCCAGTGCTCATGTTTCTGGACCCAGGGCTTCCTCTCGGGATGAACAAGATGCATCACCACTCAGGTGCTCTCTCCTGTGTGACTGTGGCTGGCAGTCTCCTATTAGCAGGTTGACACCATGGAAAGGAGGCAGCCAGGAGGCAGAGGTAACAAGCACAGGCTTTAGAGCCACGTTGCCTGGAATCTAACCTTGGTTGCTCCATTTGGCCAGCCGTGACCTTGGGCAAGTTACTTAACCTCTTCATGCCTTAGTTTTCTCACCTATAAAAGATTTAGATTAGCAACTACCTCAGTAGAGTTGTTGTGAGGATCGAACGTTATTACACAGAAAAGGCTAAGCACAGATTCGACCCCATGGGAAGCGCTAGAAAAAAAATGTATGTTATTTACCTGCATTAAAGTTATGATCATTTAATACATATCACATTCTTATTCTTTGTTTACTTATTGCCTGTCTTCCTTACAAGAATATATGCTTCATGAGAGCGAGGGTATTGTCTTGTTTAAATTATCCCTAGGGCCCAGAGTGGTGTCTGCCGCAAGAAGGGGCTAAGCAGTGTGTTGAATGAATGAGAGAAAGTCAAGGCTTGTTGGCCAGGGAGCCTCTTCTTTTCTTCAGATAACTTTGCCCAGCTCTGCTCTGCTCTGTTGGGTGTTTTCTACTGTAGCCCCCGGAGAGCACCCCCAGCTCCCTCTTTATAAGTTCCTCAAGTAGTAGGTAAAAGCAGGGAGTGTGGGATTCAAAGCCACCCTTACTAACTCTGACCTTGGGCAAGTTACTGAACTTTCCTAAGCTTCTGTTTCTTCCTCTGAAAGGTGGGAATAAGTACCTCCCTTACTGGGTGATCCTGGGGACTGAATGAGATCATCCTCAGACACTGCTGCAGGTGTGGGAGCACTCCTGTGGGAGCACCCCGCCGAAGTTCACCGCGCAGGTTTGCCCTCATGTATAGTCCTTACTGGGAGCAGCAGGGCTCCAGGTGGTTCTCCCACATTTCTACCATCCTCTTTCCCTCATTCCGCAGGATAAACGGGTTTGGGGCCATCCGTTATCCCCAGTCTGCTGCCCTCCACTGTCGGCCTGCCGTTTTATTTATTTATTTTAAAAAAGTATTTATTTGAGAGCGAGTGAGCAGGTGGCGGGGGGCAGGCAGAGGGGGAGAGGATCCAAGCAGACTCCTGCTGAGCCCGACGTGGGGCTCGACCTTACAACCCATGAGACCAGGACCTGAGCTGAAGGCAAGCGCTGGACGCTCAGCCAGCTGAGCCACCCAGGCGCCCCTGTCTGCCATTTTAGACAGGTGCCTGCGGCAGGTAAAAATGGTCCAGGGCTTTTGAAGTGGGGTTCACAAGGCCGTGCCACTGCCGGCTGCCTCCCTGAGCCCTCCAGGGGCCAGGCCCCGCGATCCTCTGAGGCCCCCCTGCAGCCCCGCGGCTGTCCACCTGACATCAGATCAACCTGTGCCTGCCCCTTTGATGTCGACCCCCTAACTGGAGCCTCGTGGCCTGCTCTGAGGACCTGGGCTTTGAAGTTGGCCTATAAACTGCGCTTTCAGGAAGAAAGTTGTCTGTTGGGCCTCAGAGCACGGCTGGGCCCCGTAAAGGCGCCCCGAGTGCCATGAACACCTGATAAATAATTCTTTCTGGGCCCAAGAAAGATTCACTCGATTTAAAGGGGACGAAAATTCCCTTGACCTTTTCGTTGAAGTTCTGGGGCGGTGGGGGTGGGTGGGTGGACCGAGGGTGTTTACAGCTGCTCACCGCAGCCACGTGGGGCAGGCAGGCTGTCTGGGAGCTGAGCCCTGTGACTGCTCCCTGTCTCTGACCCCTGACCCGAGGTCCCCTCGGCCGCCGCTCCCCCTCCCAGTCGCTGCCTCCTGCTCGAACCGTCCTCCGGCTTCGTTTTGTCCGTGTTCTGAAGCGCGCACGCACGGCCGGGCCAAGAATGCAGCCTTTTGTGTCTGGCTTTTTTTCCACTAAACGTCGTGTTTGTGATGGTCCCCCTATTTCAGTCGTTGGGCTGTTCAGCCTTCATGCTCGGCATGTTGGGGAGTTAGTTGGGCATCCCCCGGGGCGCTGGCACAAGTGCTACTGCCACGAGCGTCTCGTGTGTAGCTCTTGGTGCACACGCGTTCACGGGCCTCTGGGTGTATCCCTGGTGTAGAGGTGCCGGGTGCTAAGCGGGTCTTCAACGCCTAGAAAATGCCAATCCGTTTTCCAAAGCAGGAGTGTTAACGCATAGCCCGGGAGTTGTGGTCGCTGTGGCGGCGGCCCCTGGGCTGGCCCCGTGATCTCTGCCTTCTGCTGTGTGCACCCTGCGGGAGCGCCTCCCTCTGCTCGTGGGCTGGAGTCGGCAATTCCCGTCTAATAAAAAGATAATGACAGAACGGGAGGTCCCTTCCAGCACGAGGTTACGAGAAGACTAGCTTCGTCTGGGCATCCCCTCGTGCTTTCTCGCCTGCTGCGGGGAGCGAAGCCATGTGGTGAGCTTAGCTCCCAGAGGCCCGAAGGCCCAAAGCCTGGACGACTCCAGCAGCCACAGAAGTGAGCTGGGAAGTGGGTCCCCTCTCCAGGCAGACCTGGGGAGGTCACATCCGGATGACTTCTGAGAGGCACCCAGCTCACCAGAAACCGTGAGATCAATGTTTCTTGTTTCAAGCCATTAAGTTTGGGCGTAACTTCTACAATAACAGATAATCTACGCAACAGAACTTTATTTTTTTTTTTACTTTAGCCATTTTGATGTGTATGAAGTAGGTTTCTTAGTATCTCTCTGTTAATGATGTTGAGTATCTTTTTTTTTTCTCGAGTACCAGTCAACTTTTATTGGATACTAATTGTGAATTAGATAATGGAAGGATTCAAGGATGCCAGGCAAAAGTCACGGTCAGGTATGCCAAACGTGCTTCCACACTGGGCGCTCTTCAGTGGTACTTGTGTAGCCGTTCACATTGGAGGTTCTCGTAAGAACGACAATAGCTGAAAAACATAAGCAGCCAGCACCATAGAAATCCCAGTGACGCCCCCTTTCTTCACACTGATATAGTTGTAATACCAGCAGTGACCTCTGAAATGTTGAGCATCTTTTCAAATGTTCATTGACCGGTTTTTTGTTTGTTTGTTTTGTTTTGTTTTTTGGTAAAGTACCTGTCAGGACTTTTGTCATTCTGTGGGGTTGCATATCTTTCCCTGGTTGGTTTGTAGGGTTTCTGAATATGAAGCCTGTTTTAGCTTGGATTACTCCTAAGAAAGCAGAGCCTAAGGCAAGGGCTTGAAAGAAGATATTTTACTTGAAAAATGGTCCTATGGAGCAGAGTGGAAAGAAAGAGAAGAAACCAATAGAAGAGGGCCTTTTCAACCTGTGACTGCAGTGGGAAAACTTGGGCTCAATCTCACTGGGGCCTTCGAAGAGCCATGTAAAATGCACCTCCAAATTATTTGAGGTATGAACGAGAAGACCAGTTTTCTACTAGCTCAGGGCCCCCACTGACCAGAGGTTCCCCCCATAGAGTATCCCCCATATTTCCAGATCCCACGTATGTGTCTCCCGTATTAGGACAGCCAAGAAACCATAGGGCATCAAACAAGAGGTGAGGCTGTGATCCCAGAGCAGTAATAGCTAGGGTAAAATGGGGGCCTAGAGGATGTGCCCTGGAGCATGGGAAGTATCTGACACAGAGCCTTGTATTGATCATAACGAATTGCTAACAACTTCTCATACTCTGTAGCCTCTGTTTGCACAGTGCCTTTTAATAAATAGATAAATAAATGTTGATACCCAGAAAAGCAAGTGTCTTATTCTTCACAATTGTCTTGCCTATTTTTGTCTTCTGCATTTCCTTACAAATTTCAGAATCAACTTGGCAAGTTTCACCCCTCACCCTCATATGGATTTTTTTTCCTATTGAGACTGTATTACATATAGATTACTTTGGAGAGAATTGTGTCGTCTCAATATTGAGTGTCCTAATCCATGAACATGACCTATTCCTTCATTTATTTAGGCCTCTAACATTTTCTTTTCCAAAATATTTTATAGAAAGAATTCTGCTTCTAGCAATGGTGGACAAGGTGGCTTTGAATCAACTTTCCCTCTGAGAACAAATAAAAAAGGAGGCTGAAGTGGAAAAAAAAATTTTTTTTGAAGGTACTGGAGAGTTGTCAAAGCTCTGTAGGGAGCCAAGATTCAGAGAAAAGGTAGGAAGTATGAGGTCAGCATTTGGTACCATTTTCCCCTCAAAGTGCATCCCCCATGGACTGTGGCAGTCAGCCAAGGACCCAGGGGAGTGCCTTTGTATAGATTTAGGGTTTGACAGCTTCCCCATATCCAGTACTCTTCCTCAGATCCTAATCTCCTTGACAACCTTGCATGCTGGTCTCTGTTTCTTCTAGTGAATCTGCTGTTTACATGACTTTCCTTTACTTGTGGTTGGAAAATGACCTCAGGGAAAAAGGAGAGCTGAATGTGGAAATCTCTGTGTGCTTCCGTTCTCTTAATGATCAGAAGCCCTGAGTGGTTTGGCCAACACAACTTTATCTTTACTCTTGAAGGATATTTTCACTGGGGATAGGATTCTAAATTGGTGGTTTGTTTTTTCCCCATTGTTTTGAACATATCATTACATTGTGTTCTGGCTTCTTTTGTTTATGTTGAAAAGTCAACTGTCTTATTTTTACACCCTTAAAGATAATGTGTCTTCTCTGCACTTATTTATCTTTGGTTCACAGCACTTTTACTAGAATGAGTCTGTATGAGTTTGTCTTTATTCACTTTAGAATTTAGATACCTCAAATCTGTGAGTGGATATCTTTTGTTTGGGGAGATTCTTTTATCTCTTTAAAAATTGATTTTCCCCATATTCTATTTTATCTCTTTAAGGGATGTGTAATTGTATAAATGCTACTAGCTCTTTTTACTCTTTCTCCTTGCTAGGAAACAATACTACATTATGCAAGAATTACATGTGTTTGAGAAGGATTTGACAAATAAATTAGTTTTTCTCTCACTGACATGCCTTTGCCACTCAGATTCTCCCATACTTTGAAGCAGTGTCTGTCTTTGACATTAGCAGTGGCAAAACACACAAATCATCATGGAATTTGGACATAGTCACTTTTTGTTTCAAGGACAAAGAGCAAAGTGTGTGGAGGATTTTCCCGGTCACGATGTTAAATATTTAAGGTTTTAGAGGCTGTACTATCCCAGCCCTGACTGGCAGGTGCTGAGTGATAAAGGCACCTACATGCTCTTTGATAAATATGTATTTGTGGTATGCAGGGCCCTTTAAGGCATGAGCCCCAAGAGGAGCCCATCTTACCTGATAGCATTTCTCAGTCTCAACACTGACATTTTGAGCCAGATAATTCTTTTTTGTGGGGTCTGACCTGTGCATTATACATTATAAGATGTGTAGCAGAATCCCTAGTCTCTACCCACTAAATACTAGTAGCACTCCCAGTAGCAACAAACAAAAATATCTTCAGACATTGCCAAATGTTCCTTGGGAGACAAAATCCCTCCTGGTTGAGAACCACTGGTCTAATACTCCAGACAAGAGAGACACACATGGTTAAGTTCCATGTGGAACTTAATACTAGTAGCCTGCTTTGTAAAAGCAAGCACATAACCAGTTTAACTAGAGACCATGCGGTATTATGAGTTGTGTTTTCCTTTGGCTTCAAAAGGAAAAGCTTCCTGTTTGGAAGCTCAAAGCTAAGTTTCAGGTTATATTAACTGTCAGCCTGTTTTCAGGACTGATCTTTTATTTCTAATATAACAATCCTTTTAGAAATGGCTTCACATAATGTGAAGAGTGGCAAACATAATGTCTCCGTTTGAATTCAGCCTGAGAGGGCAACATCTCAGTGCTGGTCAAAGGCACTGGAGGCACTGTGCTCAGTAGAGTGAGTTTGGCTCCTTGAAGCAGCTTTTTTTTTTTTTTTTTTTTTCCCTTGAAGCAGCTTTGAGGACAGTGAGCATTTTGGGGAGATGAAGAGAAGATGAAGGCAGTTTGGTGTCTGTGGGGGGCATACCTTGTAGGGGGCATGCAGGTGTTCTTTTGGTTTATCCTGTGCATGAAGTAATTGTGGAATGCTTTCTGAGAGGGGGCTGGAGGGCTGAAGTTCAGAAATCAAACCTGTGGGGGTCTAAGCAGTGATAATTTGCATGTGATAAGTTAGTGTGTGGTTACTTCCAGTTTGGAGACAGAAGAGTGAAGTCACTTCTCTCTTCTTTTTTTTTTTTTTAAGATTTATTTATTTATTCATGATAGAGAGAGAGAGGCAGAGGGAGAAGCAAGCTCCATGACAGGAGCTTGACGCGGGACTCTATCCCGGGACTCCAGGATCGCGCCCTGGGCCAAAGGCAGGCGCCAAACCCCTGAGCCACCCAGGGATCCCCCTTCTCTCTTCTTTTGGAAATCACCTAAAAGTGGGTGCCTGCGTGGCTCAGCGGTTGAGCGTCTGCCTTCCGCTCAAGGTGTGATCCTGGAGTCCTGGGATCCAGTCCCACATTGGGCTCCCTGCAGGGAGCCTGCTTCTCCCTCTGCCTGTGTCTCTGCCTCTTTCTCTCTCTCATGAATAAATAAAATCTTAAAAAAAAAATCACCCAAAAACAATAAGGAGAATGAGAAAAGGAACTGCAAACTCCAGCTTCGACAAATGTAGGAGACATCTGAAACTTGTAACTCTCAAACAGGTAAAAGAGTTGAAAAACTAGGGAATATCAAATGAAGAGTACAGAGAATGCTTGCTTCTGCAGGATCTGAGAAGCCTACCTTAGTGTCTTCTCCAAGGTGAGGCTATTTGCAGGACCAGTCTGAGTGGCAGGGAAGAGAGGAAGCCCCTGCATGTGAAGAGCCCTCTACTATAGCATATGATCTTCATTGGCAGAGCTAGATGGGTTCACACACATCATTCGATCTGGTTAAAAAAAAGTAATTTGTCCCCTCTTCAATATGAAAATCCTGCAAATACCTGGGGAGAGCTTAATTTAAAGATGAGTCATCAATTTTCCTCATGTAGGTAAATGGAAACTCAGGGTCTCCTGTCTCACATGCTACATCCAGTCCTCTGGTAAAACTGGAGGCTCTACCTTCAGAATACACCCAGTATCAAGTTCTCATTACTTCCACTGTTATTTCCTAATCTACATTCCTGTGCTCATCTGGAATATTGTGGTAATCTCACAACTGTGCTCTTCATTTTGACATGCGACTCTATAGTATTTCTTTCAAACACAGCTGCCTAAGCTGTATATCAGGTCCTTCTAATCAAAACTCTCGCCAATATCTCTTTGAACTCATCTCACAACTTTTTTTAAAAAAAGATTTTATTTATTCATGAGAGACACAGAGAGAGACATAGGCAGAGGCAGAAGCAGGCTCCTAACAGGGAGTCCCATGCGGGACTCTATCCCCAGACCCGGGATCACAACCTGAACCTTACAGACACTCAACCGCTGAGCCACTCAGGCGTCCCTCATCTCACAACTCTTTTTGGCATCTAGGCCAAACATATGGTCTTCATCAAAATGTATCCCTAATAAATTAGCTTGAGAAAGCTCTACTAATTTTATTCACCACATATAACTAGAAACGGGGGCGCCTGGGTGGCTCAGTTGGTTAAACGTCTGCCTTTGGCTCAGGTCATGATCCTGGGATCGAGCCCCCATGTCAGGCTCCCTGCTCAGCGGTGAGCCTGCTTCTCCCTCTCCCTCAGCCTGCCACTCTACCTACTTGTGCTCTCTCACTTGTTCACTCTGTCAAATTAATTAAAAAAAAAAAAAAAAGACCCCAAAACTGGAAAGAGATTTGCATTCAGGCCTCAGTATCAACATTTTAAATTGTCCTTTTTCGGAAACTTGAAGGACTTTTCCCACTGGGAAGATAAAACCTTGTGAGGTTTAGGATGGTGAAGAGGTATTGCCTTTTTCTTTTACTGATAAAGTCTACCCTGAAAGGAGAGGTAATTTTCAGAGATCAATTTAGGAAGAACATGTGGATATAAAGAAAATGATTCTGTTGAATTCCTTCATGTACCCAAAGAGTGGATATTATCTGACGACTGCTGGTTAACAATGCCAAGAACTGCTAACAGGTCAAAGAATTAATGTTTTAGGAAAATTAGAATCATTGATTTGATCAAAGTATTTTTCAAAGCAGTTGTGTCAAGGTTGGGTAGAAAACATACTAAAATGAATGAAGGAGGGGATGACCATGATGAAGGCAGTGATAGAAACACGTTATTAAAATTGGATGTAGGGATCCCTGGGTGGCGCAGCGGTTTGGCGCCTGCCTTTGGCCCAGGGCGCGATCCTGGAGACCCGGGATCGAATCCCATGTCGGGCTCCCGGTGCATGGAGCCTGCTTCTCCCTCTGCCTATGTCTCTGCCTCTCTCTCTCTATGACTATCGTAAATAAATAAATAAAATTAAAAAAAATTGGATGTAGAAGGCATAAGGTAGGATTACAACAGCTTAAATATATATTATCTAGGAACAATTATTTTTAAAATGTGAAATAAAGCGTGAAATACTGGGGGTACAAGTGTTGACAGAAAAGGGGTCAAGAGACCCCTTTTAATCAACAGATTAAGCAAGAGGTTGAAGACTCAAAGGAAGATATCAAAAGCACTAGATTCACAAGAAGATGCAAAGGATTTATTGAGCAATGAAGATCTACCAATATGAAAAGATTTTAACCTGCTTTATCGAATTCTCAGTGACCATACAAGGTAGTTGCTATTGCCATCCTCATTTTGCAGACAAGGAAGAGACCCACGGAGATCTAGTTATGCCCAAGGTCACTCAGCTTCTTCACTATGTTGGTAGAGCTGGGCTGTGACCTAAAGCAGTGGAACTTCTCTATGGTTGTGAATTTATAAGGCAGAAGCTGAAGGAATTTCCGATAAAATCTATTTATGTAAGCTAGAAGGCAAGGCCATGTTAAGATCAAGGAGTGGGGGGCGCCTGGGTGGCTCACTGGGTTAAGTGTCTGCCTTCGGCTCAGGTCATTATCTAGGGTCCTGGGATTGAGCCCTGCGTTGAACTTCCCGTGCAGTGGGGAGTCTGCTGCTGCTTCTCCCCCTACCCCTCCCTCCCTGCTCATGCTTGCTAATAAATAAAATCTTAAATAAAAATGGAAGGTTACAAGTCTATAAAGAGGGTTTAGACAATCACTAAGATGGGAGGAGTGGACTAGACAAAACAGTATTGACAACATGCAGTGTTAACATTAATTTTTAGTAATACTGGGTCTTCTCCAGACATAATCTGTAGAGGACTGGATACACCTAAGGATGGGATTTTCCAGGAAAGTATGACGGAGAGGATTATTTAGGATACTTATAACAGTGATACTAGATTGATAGACCAATTAATAATCTAACAGGGATTGTGAAGCAGGTGAAAACTAACAATGACCTAATTTGAACATGTGTAAAAGAATAGAAAGGTCATGGTCAGAAGTAATTTTTAAATTAATGATTTTAGAGGTAACATTTTTGGATATTGGAAGTATCCAGGATATGGTTGTCGTGGAAATCAAATCATGAAATCAAAGCCCTTTGAGAAGTGGTCATTGAAACCAGGCAGTTGAAAAATTTTCCTCAAAATTTACTTGATGAATGCGACCTTTCTGATCTCAAACTGCCGTTTAATCAGAAAAACATTTTAAACTTTCTTCTGTAACTTCATTTTCTCCCAGGCTTAAAAAAAATTAGATTTGAGGATTTTTACCTATTACACACAAAGTTGGAAATTGTGGTCCTGTAAAGCTTTTCAATAAAAAGACTGGTAAATCGTTGGCATAGGTAAACACTTGGGAGAAGTGTATTTCAGGTAAGAAACTGTCAATGATAGGGCAAATTTGCCATAAAACTTTTGACTAAATAGTCTTTCAACTGCACAAAAATGTGTACTTTCCCACCTGATTCTTTAATAGGGATATCAAGATGGTAAAGCATCTTCCTGTTTTTTTTTTTTTCTCTAAATTTGATAAGGAAAGAAAACCCCACAACCCTGATGTTCATGCTTAAAAGATAGCCATGATGTTTAATGTGGTGCTGGGACACTAGGCCACCAAATGGACCAACAGACCTAAATTTACTCCAACCCTGAATTACATAAATGGTCCAATAATATATCAATTAGTTGGAATAAGAATGTCTCTATTTGGACATGAAGAAAAAGGTCTTCCAGTTGTTTTAGAAGAAGGATCTTCAATTTACATATTAAGAACCAAGACTTATAAACAACCCAGCACATTTAAACAAACTAATGAAAATACTTTTTAAAACCTAATACTGATCTCACCCACTTCCATTCTTAAACATAAATCAGCCTTCATTTACTACTTAAATTTTCATTGTAATAACCGTAGAAATTAGATATCTAAAAATGTGTAGGCAACTGAAATTTGAATAAAGCCAAATATGTTCAAACTGAGTACCTATTAAATGTTATATATCCTGTCTACTACCCGCTGACTTGATATTCTATTATGTAGGGTAGCACCTATTTTAAAACAATCTAAGATCAAAAGCCAAATATTGGGGGTCTAATCTGTGAATGGATTGCATCAACCAGATATCACCTGTTCTAGTTTCTGTACTCGTAACATTTTAAATTTCAAAGTGACTTAGGAATTTCTTTTTTAAATCCGACACATCAAACACATACTTAAGTTTCTAGATATATAAAAATTCAGCAAACATGTTTGACTCACACCTTTGAATATGTTACTTAGAAACATTTTGGACCCAGATATTTAAGGATCATGGATTAGCCACTAGCCCATAATGCAGTTTGTTAATCTGCTGTACAAGTCAACCACTTAACACCAAAGGATTCTAATCTCACTCCCACAGAAGCAGCAATAAAATCAGAAAGCAATACTACTTTCTAGTAATTTGATAATCAAGATAACAAACAGCATTGGGATAAAAGGAAGAAAATTTGTTTCAGCTTCTTCAATAAGCCTATTCCTCATCTTAGATAATGAGGATAAAGGTATCACAGACCAAATATGGGAAACTGCTTTTTCTTTATTTAGGCCTTAGGAAGAAAATTAACTTTGGTCACATATTAGCTTAAAAAAAAAAAATCCAGTTTTACATATTCCTAAATAGACCGGACCAAATGATCAGAGAAATAATTTCTTCTGTAAAAATTGGCCAAATTTTATCAAAAACCTAACATACAATGTAATTCAAATTATATAAAGACTGCTTGGGATCATAACATTCCAAATGTATGACAGTTGCAACTCCATCCTAACAGGTGTGAAAGTATTTGCTCTCATGTTGCTTTGGTCCAAAAGAGTAGAGCTGATCAGTAAGAATAAACTAAGTACCTAATTTTTTGCAAACAATTTAGTTATTGGCAGCAGAAATATCCATGATGAATAGTTCTACTACAGCAAAGTATAATAACTGAATATATTTCATGAACACATCACAGTATCAGATAAACTTATGAGAGAAAAATATGAAGGAACAAAAAAGATGAAACAGCTACCACAAAAGTCTCCTCCATAACTATCTGAAGGGTAAAAAGATGAGATTAGAATTTGATGATGCTAATATGAAAGGAAATTGAGTATTGTATTTATTTCTTATTTTATACAACTCTTACTCTTTACAAAAATGGTTATAGTCATGCCCATAAAAGTGTAATCCATGGCATCTGAAAGCAAACACTCTTTGTAATTATTTAAAAGGGCCTTTTTAAAAATTATAATACAAAGGTCTGTGCTCTATAAGCAGTCCTCCACTGTGCATTATAACAATAAGGCTTACTTTTAATACAAAGACTAAGTGTTTGGGAGTTATGAACCACTGGATTTAACAAACATCATTTTATAGTTGCTTTTTGCATCTTTTTTGTTTTTGGGATCCTCCACTTCATCAGGGTGCTCAGTAGCTTGGAGTTCTTCAGCAGACTCTTCTTTCTCTGACTCTGAATCACTTTCAGAGTCATCTGGACTTTCAGGATCAGGTGAATCATCATCATCATCATCATCTCCAGCCACATCACCTTCTCCATCATGATCTTCTACCTACGAACATAACCAACAGGCTCTTCTTAAATACAAGTACCCCAGTAAAAAAACTGGGAAAGACGCTATTTTTGTCACCGTCTCAACGCCCACTCCCTAGCCATTCAAAGTTTTGAGACGATTATGATCAGAGTCGGCCAAGGGAAGACCTGAGGATTCAGGAATCTCTGTGTATTTTACCCATTAAGATTTAAGTAGAATTTCAAGAAACAGCTCTGAAGACCACTCACCCGAGTCCCTTCCCCCCAGTTCGAAAACTACATCTTCCTGAAAGAAATAGTATTTTTTTAAAAGTAAATAAGGCAAATTAATCACTGACCCTTGGAAATGTGGAAAAGTTATCAATGTTTTACATATTATACTATGTAATTAACCAGCACGTATAGTATGAAAAGAGAGCACTGAGAAAACTGAGAAAGATCCTAAATTAGTACTTACATGAAATATTTCCTGTTTTTATGCTATTAAAGATGTGCCATCATGATCATCTAAGCAGAATTTACGTTAAGCTTTTATCAGAAAACATTTGTAAAACTCAAAAATATCTCATTCTCTACAGAGACCTATTTGGGCACACAGAAAGTTAAAGAACTAAAAAGAAAGCTTTCTACATAGGATTCTTGATTGCTAGAGTAATCTAACAGAAATAAAGGATATCAGTTTAGAAATTATCTTCCCCTTTAGTGAAAATGTTAATTACTACCTCACTGAAGCCAAGTCCACAATGTCGTCGATATCTTCCTGATAATTTACTGTCCATACTTTGCTGATATTGAGACTCCAGTTCTTCATTAATTTTCTTGTCTTCTTCCCCTGCATGTCCAGTGTACTTTGGTTATGTTTCAGTCAAATTAATAAAAACATTTGATTACACAAAAAAACCCATATTACAAATGCTATTATATTTAGGGCTGATTTCTCTAACTTTACAAACGAATTTTGTGGATGGGTTACCTAATAGATATAATTTAAGGAGGTATTTATGATTACGTCTTTGGTAGTCAACCCTCTGAACTACAAAAGTATTTATAAAAGATGAAGAACCTGTATTTTTCTATGTGGTAAGTTAAACTAGACATAAGTCTCTGAACTGCCTAAAGTTCAGATATTATAAATATTAATCACTAAGAACTTTGGGCTTTAAATACTGCTTATTTATAGTCTAATGAATGACTGTTAACCTGAAAGTGAGTTTTCTCCTACATTCAAAAAACCAGCAACAAACAAAAGTTTCTGTTTCTGAGCAAGATATATAATGAAAAGGTAGGCAATTCTGTTCAGAAAATGGTCAAATAAATAATGGCTCTAATTCATGCCTTTCTTACTATCACTTTACTGAAACAACATAACTTATTTAGAACTAGAACATTACTAATACCATCAAAGCTTTCTGAGGAGTTGTCTGGGTGGCTCAATCCAGTGAGTATCCAATTTCTGATTTCGGCTCAGGTCACGATCATGATCATGGTCCCAAGATGGAGCCCCACACTGGGTTCCCCTCTTAGTGGGGAGTCTATTGAAATTCTCTCTCTCCCTCTCCCTGCTTGCAAGTGCTCTCACACTCTCTACATAAAACTTTAAAAAGCTGAATATGCCATTTTATTTTGTAAATATAAAAGAAATTTCATTTTAATCACAAAATAATGCTTGCATTATTTTTATTCATAAAGTCCACAGTTTGAAAGAATAAATGCAGTTAAATATTTTTCCATTCTGCAAAGCTCAGGGATTCCTTTTGCCTTTTTTCTTTTTTAAAGATTTTATTTATTTATTCATGAGACCGACAGAGAGGCAGAGACATAGAGGGAGAAACAGGCTCCATGCAGGGAGCCTGATGCAGGACTGGATCCCAGGACCCCGGGGATCACACCCTGAGCTAAAGGCAGATGCTCAACCACTGAGCCACCCAGGCATCCCTCTTCTGCCTTTTCTAACAATGCAAATAAATTTGAAATAATTGTCTTGAAAAATAAAAGACCTATTAATTTCTAAAATGTGCTACATATTCTAGGTTAGTATAAAGTTAATTTAAATAATTAAAAGATTTTTTTCAATACGATCCAGGTCATTATGTCCTGTTTTTATTAAGTCCAAGATGAGAATCAATTTTATATAGAAGAAAATTTCATTTTTCAGTAGCCTGAATTCAAATCCAATCTCTTTCATTTTTAGCTTTTATTTTAAAAATTTTTCCTTTAAGATTAAGTTAATTTCTTCAGGCTTTCTAATAAGTTTGTATTCTTTATTAAAGATTTCAAAAAAAAGCCTTAGTGAATAAATTCAAAACCAATATGCCAAGAAGAACACTGTATGTTAATTTATAATGTAAAAAGTACATAAATACATATTACATAACAGTTGGCAGGATAAGGCATAAAGCTCACTACAATTAAATATATGTTCTGAAGACAGAAAAAGGTCAGTTTCTTAGAATAATCTTTAAAAATTATCTTTAAAAATTAAAATCTTTAATCTTTAAAAATTACAGTACATGCTAATTGTTACATATACATGTTTACATATACATTTCTAGTTCTAGGATCTTCAACATTAGCAACTATACAGAGAGGGATGCCTGGGTGGCTCAGCAGTTGAGCATTTGCCTTTGGCTCATGATGTGATCCTGGAGTCCTGGGATCAAGTCCCACACTGGGCTCCCTGCATGGAGCCTGCTTCTCCCTCTGCCTTTGTGTCTCTCATGAATAAATAAATAAAATCTTAAAAAATATATACAGAGAAATCCCAAAAAAATATATAAATATTTCATATTCCAAATCTAACACCGCCTCTTAAATTATGTTTTACTTTCTTACCTGTTCGGAAGTGAGATGTTGATTTGTGGTCTCCTATAACAAGACGGCCAGTATGTTCTTTCTATAAGAAAGCAGAAAATGTATTAGAATTTGAGATCACTAATTTAAAATAATTACAGAGTGTCTCCAAATGTGCCCAATATTATTCTAGGCTTCTGGATACAGTGAAGAAAAACAATTAAATTGACATCCTTGTCTTTACGGAACTTACATTCTAGCAAAGGTAGAGATAAGGAGGGGAACTGAAATCAATAAGTAAATTATACTGTGTTAGAAAGTTCTAAGTACCATTAAAACAAATACATAAATAGAGCAGAAAACAGGAGTGGAGAGTATGTAGACATCAGGCTGGAATCTTAAATGGGATAAATAACTAAAAAATTGAGTTAATACAAACATTTTCTTTTCTAAAAGGCAAATGAGTTGCTTTAATTTTCCCACCTCCTCTTTCTGATGCCTCAGGCACATTTCATACAAAGAAAGCAAATGAAAATTATTTAGGTAGATAAAAATGAAGAAATTAATAGGCTTATAATGAACAAAGTGATAGATCTTTAAACAAATAGCCAGCTATTATCTGACTACAATGCCCGATCTTAAACTGTCAAAAAGAACAGAATTTAAAACAATCTAATTCTTCTAAAATATACAAATAAATCCTGATTCAATGTTACTAATTGATCAAGGTACATAATTACTCTCAATTATCAGTTGTAATCCACTCTTTATGGTTCATACTTAGTTTTATAAGGTAAAGAAATTCTTCACTAAAATAGTGAAGGTGAGATTAAATGTGACTTTGCAAAGTAATCTTAACTAATCACCTGTGAAGATGTGGTACAATAACAAATCTTCCTATTGTGAAAGGATGACAGACACATTTTCCACACCCAAAGATACTACTGAAAGGCTTCAAGCATTAATACTTAACTGCCTCACATGCCATTATCAGCAAATCAATGACTCAATATGCCACTTTAGACTGCAGAATATACTCTACTATTAAAATCTGAAAATGTATAATGCACTAAGTTATCTGAGGATGATGATAGTAGTGCACTGGTCTATTCACTTTCTCTTAGCTGGTTCTCCCTGTAACCAATAAAATATTCACAGTAGTTGGCTAGGGCTAGGAATATACTTCACAGCCACAAAACAGAATAAATCTAAACAGCCTACATATAAGATCAAAGCTACAATGCTGGCCTTGCTAAGAAAGAATTTAACGTATGTAAACAGCTAATATATAGGTAGTCAATTTTATTTTAAATTGTTTAATCTGGGGCAGCCCCAGTGGTGCAACGGTTTGGCACCGCCTGCAGCCCAGGGCGTGATCCTGGAGACCCAGGATCGAGTCCCACGTTGGGCTCCCTGCATGGAGCCTGCTTTTCCCTCTGCCTGTGTCTCTGCCCCTCTCTCTTTCTGTCGCTCATAAATAAGTAAAATCTTTAAAAAAATAAATAAATAGGGATCCCTGGGTGGCTCAGCGGTTTGGCGCCTGCCTTTGGCCCAGGGCGCGATCCTGGTGTCCCAGGATTGAGTCCCGCGTCGGGTTCCCAGCATGGAGCCTGCTTCTCCCTCCTCCTGTGTCTCTGCCTGTTTCTCTATCATAAATGAATATTTAAAATAAATAAATAAAATAAAATAAAATAAAATAAAATAAAATAAAATAAAATAAAATAAAATAAAATAAAATAAAATAAAAAGTTTAATCTGTTCTTTCTTCTCCACATTTTTAATGAGATGTATTTGACTACTGGTAACTAAATTTCATATACTTTATTTGTTTAGAGTATTTTTCCTAAGTACTCAAAGAGTATTCATTCTACTAGGTTGAGCATGTCTCCTAAATTATTACTTACTTCATATAGTCTTAGTAAATATTTTATTTGCATGAATCAAGACAAACTTCAGACTTTCTTTGATAAATCACAAAATTGGGAAATCTGGATTAACAAGATATTATAAAAATGCATCCTTGTACAGGTCTTACTGTAGTTATATGATCTTTCCCAATCCTAAACCCGATTGTTCAAGTCTGGCTAATTCTCTGTTTCACCAATTCTATTTCTGGGACGCTTTCTTGTACCACTAACACAGAATTAGCTACCCCTGTCTGTTGATTCCACAGCAGGAGGTGCACAGTTCTTTCACAGCAATTATAATTCTAAATTATCTGGTTTCCCTACTACACGATGGCTCCAAACATGTATAATGATTTATGTGACCCCTAGGACCTAGCATAGTACCTCGCTTGTTTTAAACACTCAATAATTGTTGGTAAAATGCATGAATGACTCCCATATGAATAACAAAGGGCTGAATTTAATTGTGAGGAGCTTAAAAGAGAAAAAAAAAGTTTTCTTATTTTAGTAAAGTAAGTATCTAGAGATAACTGTATTTGCATGTAAAAATTATTGCTAGGAACAAGAAGGGTTTTTCCCCAATAGGTGATGTTTTCCTGGCACCTGTATTTTGTATATCCTAATATGTTAATCAAACTGAAGGGGATTTCAAAATGTACTGAACATCTTAAAAATTAAGTTTTTTTAAAAAAGATTTATTTATTCATGAGAAACACAGAGACAGAGAAAGAGAGGCAGAGACACAGGCAGAGGGAGAAGCAGGCTCCATGCAGAGAGAGCCCGATGTGGGACTCGATCCTGGGTCTCCAGGATCTCCTTTAGCGCTTGGGCTGAAGGCGGCACTAAACCGCTGAGCCACCCGGGCTGCCCCTAAAATTAAGTTTTTGATAAAGGCTTGTCTTCTACTTCAAGGGCTAGAGGGAGTTATAAAATATGAAAGGCTTACCAACTGGTCTTTCCAGAAATGACTTCTACTAAATCATTAGGCTAAACAAAATAGCAAATCATAAACTTTTCTTCCTAAGGAGTCCCCTCAAACCAAGATTATTTTCTATTCAGTCTCTAAATCTTACTGCCCCAGTAGCACTGAGAATCTTAGAAGTGGTTCAGAAATAGTATACTTTGGGGCACCTGGGTGGCTTAGTGGTTGAGCATCTGCCTTTGGCTCAGGTCACATAGAGCCCCACATCAGGGTCCCTGCAGGAAGCCGGCTTCTCCCTTTGCCTAGGTCTCTGCCTCTCTTTGTTCTCTCATGAATACATAAAATCTCAAAAAAAAAAAAAAAAGAATTACTATACATTTTAAGAGTGCTTGGTTAGGTCACCTGTATTTCCCAAGCAGAGCAGGAAGATGGGATCAAAGTATATTCATTCAGTCTGGCTCACTCAACAAACAAAATAAGGATTTTATTTTCACAGGAAAGATTAACGTACATACTATTTGATGCTTACCTTTCCTGCACCCATAAGTCTCAAGAACTTCTGTTTTCTTTCTTCATTACCTAAGTCTGCTGCTTCCCAATTGCTAGATCCAAGCTGCAAAAGAAATTAGCCAATTAGTTTTTTGCATAGTAATATTGAAAGATTTCAAGTCTGTAACTCCCAAGGTCCCCCTCCCCCACCATCATTTTTAACTATAAACAATGCACACTGATTTTGTTTAGGTAGTTAAGTATATGCATCATACTCAATATATACTCCTTTTCTGTTACTTCAAGGCCAAATCCTTTAGTTCTTTTGCAGCCAGAGCTCTAATTCTCAAGTTTGCACTTAACAGAATCACCTGGAGGGTGTGTTAAAACCCAAACTGCTAGGCTACACCCCAAGAGTTTCAGATCCAGTAAATCTTGGATAGGGCTCAAGGATTTCATTTCTAACAAATTCCTAAGGTAGGACAATATTGTTGATGTGGGGACCACATTTTGAGACCTACTCTAGAGCCTTGCAAGGCCCTACTAGAGTACCTAGGATTTATAACCCAGAGGCTGCCAACCATTGTTATTTAAAGTTAGTCTGGCTTTAGTGATATTCTAAAGGACCATGGAACAACAGTCTAAAGGACCAAATTTTAGGTTTTCAATTTCTTTTTTATGCAGTTCTAGTTATTTGTAAAGATTAATATGTTAAGATTTTTATTCTTTCTTAAAGGTCTTCCAAAGAACAAACAGAAAACTATTTTCAAAAAGAGTAAAACTCCTTCTACCTTGTAATTATTACATGATCAGTTGAGTCCTTTTACAAATCTTAGAAATACTATGGAGTCCTAGTGATATTTTTCCTTACATCTTGAAACATACATAGGAATTATCTCATTGATTCATTAGTTATTGCCAACGATGCTAAAAATGACTAAAATAAGGAAACAGAAAAATGGTGGAAGAGTTTTCTCATCCTATTGTCCAAGGTAGTGCATCATCCTTCAAGAAGATTATCACTCCTCCACTGTATGCTTCCAGTTTTCATGGACACAGTTGAGAGTCCAGAATTTTTCTGTACTCACTACCGATAATGGTGACTGGGTAAAAACTGGAAACTGACAGAAGTCATTTCATAATTATTAGATAAATCAGGTGAATGCATAATGATAGGTAGTGTACCCTAAACTAATGGTAATGGCAAAATTAACTGTATATGCAAAAATCAGATTGTGAATTTTTGGATGATGAAACGCTACATGATTTTTCTCCAACTCAGGAATCAACAAGAGACAAAGAAGAAATAAAAGATAAGAAAAAAAATATGGCACTCTTGTCTAGAGAGTCTTTAACAGGGAGGACTTGATCTCAACTGCACCTTAAGAGCTCGGACTATCCTGTTTTTCTTAAATAAATAAATAAATAAATAAATAAATAAATAAATAAATAAATAAATAAATAAATAAATAAAGTGTGACTGCTTCATCTTTTATGGTATCTTTACACCAAAATTTACTTGATAGGATCTGAAGCTGGATAAGTGCTAAAGAAAGATGTGTATACAAAGGTGACTGGGAGGAATATAGAAAGAAAACATTCATTGGATTGATCATTCTAATTGAGTTTATATCTAAAAATGAAAACGTTTTGCAGTTATGGAGTAAAGATGATGACCCTCTTTTCAACAGAAAATTATGAGCACAAAGGTTTAAATTCTTCAAGTATTATATTTTGATGATGCAAATGCTAGAATTACAAATAATGATAAAGCTAAAATTTATTAGAAATTATTTGAAATCTGAAATTATATGTTCCAGTTTTACACACAACTGACAAGCAGTTAGCTGTATTCAGAGGATGCTAACCATTCTGGGTAAAGGTCATGAAAATCAGGAAAATGTATAATAAAAATTTGGGTTTGCTAGGGTTATATGTATATTAAAATTTTCATTAAAATCATTTTTCACTATCTTTCTTCTTCCAGAAATTATTTGTAGAAGACGTAGAAAATATAAAAGAAACAGTGGTGACCATTTCTCTTGGGATATGAATGTTAAAGTATTTGTACATGGAATATTAGCCATCAAAAAAATGAAATCTTGCCAATGGCAATGACATGGATGGAACTAGAGGGCATTATGCTAAGTGAAATAAGTCAGAGAAAGATAATTATCACATGATTTCACTTATATGTGGAATTTAAGAAACAAAACAGAGGATCATAAGGGAAAAGAGGGAAAAATAAGATAAAATCAGAGAGACAAACCATGAGACTCTTAACTAGGAAACAAATGGAGGGTTGCTTGTAGGGGAGGGGAGTGAGGGGATGGGGTAATTGGGTGATAGGCATTAAGGAGGACACTTGATGTAATGAGCACTGGTGTTATACACAACTGATGTATCACTGAACTCTACCTCTGAAACTAATAATACACTATATCTTAATCAATTGAATTTAAATAAAAGTTAAAAAAATATTTGTACAACACAGACACGCACTTGTGGTTGAACTAAATTCCTTTTGGTGGGGAGCTTAGATGCTTTCATGATTTTGTCTACCTAATTTCCAAATCTACTTCTTTCCACCTGAAAACTCGTATCTTTTTATAAGCCAGTTAGTTCTTAACTATTTCTGGCTGAACATAGTTAAGAAAAAAAAAAAAAGTACTAGTGAAACTTAAGTTCTGATTCTCACTGAATCACTTGCGCTCCGTGAGCCTGGACCTGGCATTTAACTTCGTTTTCATTTCTTATCTACCTAGAGTAGCTTCTTTAAAAGACTGTCTTAAGAATAACACCTAAGAATTGCATAGTGTTTTACAACTTACAAATGACTGCTCATTTATGTTCTCAAGAGTCCATTTAATAAATAAGAACAGGGATCCCTGGGTGGCGCAGCGGTTTGGCGCCTGCCTTTGGCCCAGGGCACGATCCTGGAGACCAGGGATCGAATCCCACGTCGGGCTTCCGGTGCATGGAGCCTGCTTCTCCTTCTGCCTGTGTCTCTGCCTCTCTCTCTCTCTCTCTCTCTCTCTCTGTGACTATAAGTAAATAAAAATTAAAAAAAAATAAAAAAGAACAAATAAGAGACAAAGTGACCTAAAAGTTTAAGTGACTTACTCTGACCTTCTTGCCTTAAGTTCTCTGCTCTTTCCACATACTATACATGACCAAATGAGAGAATATGTGAAAGTAGTTTATGAACTAGTTATAAAACTTATGGAACCAAGTTAAAAAAAATGTCTAAAAGCCAAAGCTTTTCCAAACTATTTCTATTACAAGAGCAAGAATCTTCAATGTCTTTACATAAATAATCCTATCACTTAACATATCTAATCCTAATTTCTTTTTTCCCCCAATCAAGTCCTTCTGGTTCTTCCTTGTCAAAGACCTTAGTGAATAAGAGCAAGCACCCTGTCCCAGTGCTGCATTCTTAAAAGCACATGGGTGCCTGATAGAGGGTCTCTACGGTTACTAAAATTAACCTCTCTCCTACACTCTGAAAAAGAGCTTTCATTTCTTCACTACAAACAAACCAATGAGGCAATTTATAATACCTTTAATACCTATAATACCTTTTACTATAGAATTGTAGTCAATCTACCTACCCCCCAATACATATTAACTCTTAGAATTTGCTTCTAATATTGTCAGCATTCTCTTAGACTGTGTTAATATCTACTTTTAACATCTTTCAAAATGTTTTATCTCCATTTTATATGTGAAGTCAGTAGGCAAAAAAACTGATTATCTTTTACCTGCAGTCAATGTTCATTAGAAATTGATGACCAACTACAACTTCAATTATAATTAGTTGATCTTCTAAAATTTAGATGTATATTTCAAAATATATATTTTTAAGTTTTGCATATAGTATTTAAACATGTCTTTAAAACAAGTAAAGATAACTCCCAATTACCAGTAAAAGTAATATTCACATGAAAGAAAGGGACTTAAAAAAATACCATCAAAAGACAAGTTATTCTATTTGCACTTTAAATTAGCAACATAGTCATTTTTAGAGTGTATTAAAGTTGCAGGACCTAATCTTGATTTGCAACTATAACCTTTCAAAAGAGAATGCTTATAAGACTGGAAAAGGTCTTAAAGGTCATCTTAAACTGATCCCAACAGAGGCTGTAGAGTTAATGACTTAATCCCTTTAACTTTCTGTTGAATTACCTAACATCAAGAGTTTTCTGCGAAGCTAAAGGATATTTGAGTCCAGCAAAACAGGTGCCTGACGTTCTACAAATCGAGTCACAGTTAAATACTAGGAGGAAAACAATGTAATAGCTTTTAAAATGGCACCCAGGTTACTCAAATGCCTTAGATAAACGCCTGGCAAGTACTGGATTACCATATTAACAAGAAAAGACCTAAGAGCCGGTAGCAGGGAAGAACACAGGGCACGGATACATCTCACTGTGTAATTATGCATCCCCAGATCCTTACTGATTACTAGTCTTTCTGCAGAGTTAGGTTCAACTTAAGAGCCTTGGCATTGTGGTCCTAAACCCACCACCCGTCCAAAGAAGGGTGGATCTTATCACCTCATTTTGCTACAACTCAGGCACTAGTAGTCTTTAGTGAGCTTTTAACGGTTCACAGAGTAAGGTTATTACGAAAGGCACTGAACCGCACTATAAAAATGACTCTACGTCTCCAGCAATTAATAGTGCTTTAAACAGCAACTGAAAACGAGATGCCGTTCTTTTATCATCCTTAAAAGATGACCTCTCCATGCCCCCACCTCCTCGTCCCCCAAATTTCTCCATCAACGTTCCCCATGGCGTTTACCCATTGTATGAAGGACCTAGTTTTCCGTTTACTGCAGGTCTCCATGACACTGCGCTAAGAGCTAGGACAAACACACAGAACAGACCTAGGCTAATAAGCACCGTGCTTGGTTCATCTTTGGATTCCCAACACCTGGCATGGCAGTAAATATTTAATGGGCTACTCTAAGGAATGAGTGGTTTGCTATTGAAGCAGACAAGCTTAGGGTGGGGAGGAAAAAAAGAGGAAGGGAGCTGAAATCAAAATGGGCTTCTAAGGTCTCAACATCCTAGACCTACCTCACCACCCTGCGTCAGTACGAAATGACTCCCCCTGGGGCAATTTTTTTTCGGTCCAATCCCATCATCGGCTTACTCTTTTAACAGGACACTGCAAAAAACGATTCCGGCCGGAAAATCTGTCCGGACGTGTACCAACATCTTGACATTGTCACGGACGCATTTTAAACCTCGAACGCGAAGGATCCCGCCATCCCTATCCTCCCAAGTAGAAGAGCCCGACAAAGAAGCTTCATCATACGGTGCCAGACCCCCTCAGGACGTCCTTCCACGACAACCCCCCCCCCTTCCTACGCAGGTCTCTAGCTCTTAGGATATAGACCTCGACCTCTTCAAACCTTCCAACCCTAATCAAGGAAAGGAGACGTTTCCCAGGTTCCTGCCCCTCGGCCCTCCGCCTTAGGGCCACCCCAGACGCTTCCTCCTTCCTAAACCACCCTTCCCGGCCTGCCCCAGCCTTTAGTAGGCCTCAACCCTTATCCACTCCGCCATTGTTATTTACATCGTCGTCTGGGGAGGCCGAACGCTTCACCCCGTGCGGATGGGACTCCCTGGCAGCGCTCATCGTTGCTGGGACCCCCGGCGGGAAACGCCGAACCCCCTCGCCGTTCTCTCTTCAGCAGCGGCGCCAGCAGCCTGCAACCTGCCCCCGGCCCGAGCAGCGCCACTCCAGAACGCAGAGCCCCTCCAGGCCTTCTCCGCCACAGTCGTCACCGCCGCGGCTACTCGCCACTCACGGAGCATTCGTGTAGTTGTAGTTTTCGGGCTCACCTCATACCGATCTGCACAAGAGGGATGAGCCGGGGAACGGAAACTACAATTCCCAGGAAGCTCAGCGGCGCAGATCGCGCTGCGTGGCGGGAGTGCCCTCTAAAGCTCCGCCTTCTTCGGCCGGTGGAGGGAGCTTTCCCGCGGATGGTTATGGCGGTGAGCGTTCGTGTAGAGCTTCGTCGCCCCAGAAACGGGCATTTCGCTGTGAGATGCTGCGCGACTGATAGAGGCGTCTGTCGTAGTTAAGCACCTAGTTTTAAATGTAATGTTTGAAGATTATTGAATCCTCCCTGGTACCGTTCCCCCCGCCCCCCCGCGACAAAAACCTTAAAAAAAAAAAAAATATGGCTTCTACTGTTTCCCACCCTCCTGTTCTCTATTATTCTTCAGGGGTTTTTACATGACCTGCGGCAATGCGGCTTTCTAGAAGATTAATGAATATTTTGCCGCTTTCTCGTTCTCACCGAAATGAGTTCAATATGGTTCCGGTTAATAGGCTGTGGGTCCACCTGAGGGAAATCTGTAAATTGTTGACACAGCTTTTTGTGAAGTGGGAGTGACCCTAACCGACCTCCCTGCTGGTATATGGGCAATGGTACTTTCGGGGCCTCCACCAAGAGGAGTCCGTTTCAGCCAGAAGGCCCTGTATCTTTTAATTTTCCTCAAAAGTTTTTTGAGGAAAAATCCACATAAACTGTGGTGAAATTGAAGTGAAATCCACATAAAGTAAATTTAACGGTATTAAGGTGTATAATTGAGTGGCATCCGGTACATTGACAATGCTGTGCAACCATCACCTCTATTTCCAAGACCTTTTCGTCACCTCAAAGGAAGGTCAGTTACCCATCGAGGAGTCCTTCCCCATTCTCCTCACTCCACCCCCGGCAGCCGCTACTCTACTCAGAAAGTGCTGTGTCTAAAGGTCGTACTCCGATGTTAGAGATTCATTCATGCAATATCAAGATCGGTGATTTTTTAAACCAGGCCTGAACCTGTGTTCCTTCAGCCCTAACGTTCTGTCAGGATCCTTGTCCTTATGTATTCTGAAGTTCCTGACTAACTTTGATCACAAAAAAAAAAAAAAAAAAAAAAAAAAAAAAAATTATTATTTTTTTTGCGCAAAAATCAGAAAATGGTATGACAGGATAGATTTAGCGTACATTTTGGTGAGGAGAGCAGCCTGCCTGTGAAGCTGTTTCACTATCAGCTTCTGAATGTAGCAATTTCTGTAGTTTTGACTGCCTGTGTAGAGATACTTTTACTGTGCTACATTTCAGATCTTTGTACCATTTACAGAACTGACTAGTGGAAGACTGGTCTTTATTTAATGTATACGGTCATATATCCAAATTCTCCTTAAGTTTGGAAGCAAAGGAATAACAATGCTGATTACGATCATATGAAAAAAAAAAAATCTCAGAGTTGTATTTTATGACCAAACAAGGGCACCTTAATCAATTAGTTCTGTGGTAAGAATAAAATCAAGGAGAAGAATAAATCCATGAGGAGAAGTATTTTGGGGGAATGGTTACTTGCTGATTATTATGAATTAAAATATTTTGTTTATTGATTCTACAAAGATTCTGTAGATGTAATTACAATGAAGTTACAGTTACGTTACAGAATCTTCTAGGATTGACTGTGGTTCACATCCAAAGGGTTTGACAGACTATACAAACATACAATTTAGAACTTGACTTTATTAAGAAGTAAATGAGGTCACTGAATAGGTAATTTTGAATTGCTGAAAGAATTCAGGAATAAAAAAGGACTATCAATAAGGTTAGTAGTTGGGATCCCTGGGTGGCACAGCGGTTTGGCGCCTGCCTTTGGCCCAGGGCGCGATCCTGGAGACCTGGGATCCAATCCCACATCGGGCTCCCGGTGCATGGAGCCTGCTTCGCCCTCTGCCTATGTCTCTGCCCCCCCCCTTTCTGACTATCATAAATAAATAAAAATTAAAAAAAATTAAAAAAAGGTTAGTAGTTACTAAGTAGTATTAAATTAACGAATGTTCAGATGAGTTTAATGAGCTAGCAACCTTTTATTTCTTTACCAGAATTGTTGGCACCTGGATGATTAAATCTTCAAGTTATCATAAATCAAGATCACAAGCCAAAAAGCAACATAGGAAATAAAAAAGACTGGATCATTCTATGAAATTTTACTCAGTTTCATTACAGAAGGCTGTATAGGTAAGGGTGAAATTATAGTGCAATAGAAATTCATAAATGGCACAGAAACTCAGTAATACCCTTCCTCCTTGTTCTGTAAAAACAAGGAGAAGATACTCTGTACACCTGTTCCATTTGGGGGTGGTGTGTGTGTGTGTGTGTGTGTGTGTGTGTGTGTGTATGTGTGTATGTGTGTGTGGCAGTGGGAGAGAGAATCTGAAGCAGGCTCCATGCCCAGTGTGGAGACCCATGTGGGGGCTTGATCTCACAACCCTGAGATCATGACCTGAGCTGAAATCAAGAGACACTTAACTGCTTAACCAACTGAGCCACCAAGGCACTCCAACAACTGTTCATCTGAATTTTTTGTTTCTGTATCTTCCAGCACAATATGTGCCACAGAGTAGTAACTTTTTTTAGTACTTCAATTAATGAAGTATGAAATTATATAATGTAACAGAGTGGTACCTCCTATACATCCTAGAAACTTAGCAATGTTCTTTTTATTTTTTATTTATTTATTTATTATTATTATTATTTTAGCAATATTCTTCTTTATTAGATAGTAAAGACAATGAGAGGAGGCTCTGTTCCTCATAGGACTTGGAAATACTTTCCTGACCATGCCTTCTTCGTTTTTTATGTACCCAGTACTTTAGCATGTAATAGGCATTCATAAATGTTTGTTTCCCTTTAGCCAAGAGAATCATAACAATGTAGTTAACGAACCTAAAGAAGACATAAAAGCTCTGATAAATATGCTCTGTACAAAAAACTTGCTACTGCTTTATCTGAGGCTGAAAAAAAATTCCTGGAGCCAAAGTTCTAACTACTATTTATTGAATATCCACTATGCATCATGTGCATTGCTAGGTGCTTCACAACAATTTGCAAGGATTTTTGTTTTATACATGATGAAGTTTTAAGAAAAGTTAAATGCTTGCTCATGATCATATAGCTAATGAGTGAATGGCTAATCTGGGATTTAGTCCTTAAATGTGTCTAACACCAAAAACCTGTGCACTTTCCACTGTGCCAGTATAACTCAATACTTATATTGGCAGCTTAGTATGCGTCAGTGTGCTAAATTTGAAGAAAACTAAAAATAAGTATGTATAATCTCTTACCTTGAGGAATTTATAGCTTGGTGGGGGAGGGATGACTAAGTGGCACAAGAAAGTTACAGATGAAATGCTGTGGAAGCAGTTCATGTATTCAGGAATGGTTAGTGTCCTGTGAAACTGAAACCCGACAAGCACAGAAGGATATTCTGAGACAGAACTCTATAGGCTGATCAAAGCCATGAGTTTGAAACTATGTGTGTTCAGGTTCAAATCCTTTCATAGATTTATAGTAACCTTTCCCCATGCCTAATAGTTTTCCACTTAAATCCATTTTATATATCATACCCAGACTCATCATCTGAAAATGGAATAGAGACTCCTGCTCAAAAACTGCCCAGAGCTCCCATTTTGTACAGAATTAAGTTGATATAATTAGCCTATAATTAAGGGTCTATATTTTGATTCTCTGTTCTTATTTTCCAATGCTACCTTTTGTTTATCTTGGTTAGTCTGTCATTGCTAGTTAAATAAAAATATATGTGCTATAATAGAGGTATGAACAAAAATACAAGTCTTACTGGGTATTCTAGACTGTCAAAGAATCTTTTGAGTAGAATCTAAGATTAGCATCATAACTTGTATATAAACCATGACTCAGTAAATTTTTATTGTATTATATGAATGGATATGGTCAGAGAGGAGCAAGTTTACATGGTAAGGTAATGAATTTTTTTTTATTTTAGACATATTATATTTAAGGTATTAGTGGGTCACCAAATAGACCTGTCTAGTAGGCAGTTAGAAATAAGGACTTCAAAGTTAGGAAAGGCCATAAATTTGGAAATCTCCAATCTAGAGATGATGGGAGTGACTGAACTTACTCAGTGATCACATAGAAGAGAGGTCCTTGGAAAAGGAATAAAAAGAAAACAGTTAAAAGTAGGCAGAGCCTGAGATTAAAAGACTGATGTAGAACAAGATGAGTTGCATATCATTGAAGCCAAAGGAAAATTATTTGAAGAATGTGTTGTTTAATTGGGAATGAAACTTATCTTAAACCTGATTTTAAAGGCATCATATAGGGATGCCTGGGTGGCTCAGTGGTTGAGCTTCTGCCTTTTGGTCGTGATCTGGGATCCTAGGATCCAGTCCTGCATCAGGCTCCCCATGGGGAGCCTGCCTCTCTCTGTGTGTCTCTCATGAATAAATAAAATCTTAAAAAAAAAAAATAAAGGCATCTTATAAAGAGAACTGAAGGGCCTAACATACAATCCTGAAGGCAGGGTATAAAAAATATTTGTGATTGATGATGGTTGATGATGATGGGATGAATTCCCATTCTGGCCATGGGATGTGCACATTTGCCATGTTGTTACTGTAAATATTTACTGTGATGTAAATATTGACTTGATTACACATACTTAGAAAATTTAAAGAATGGAGAATAAAAAGGAAAAGGAAAATGTATTTGCTTATAAAATTGCTTCAGTAAAGTTGTTGATATATTTCTCTAATTTGCAAAAAGCAGCCATATTCCAATAGTTGTCAAAGGGAATTTCTGACTTTAAATCAACGGTGATACCTTTTTTTGGGGCAGGGGAGAATTTTGAGAACATTTTAGTTAATTCTCCAAAATTACTTTCTTGTTTTTGCCAAATATAAAAATGATCTGTCAATATGAGACTGGCTAAATAAATTATGGTAAATAGATCACCATGTAGCCATTTAAAGGACAGGAAACTCTCAAAAATTAAAAATAGAACTACCCTATGATCCAGTAATTGTACAACTGAATCCCAAAAATACAACAACAATAATTCAAAGGTATTCACGCATCTTATGTTTATTGCAGGATTACTTACAACAGCCAAACTATGGAAGAAACCCAAGTGTCCATTGATGGATGAATGAATAAAGAAGATATGGGATGTGTGTGTGTATTTATATTTATATTTATATATAATAGTGCCCTTTGCGACAAGATAAATACATCTAGAGAGTATAATGCTAAGCAAAATAAATTAGCCAGAGAAAGACAAATACTATTTGATGTCACTCATATATGGATTTTAAGAAACAAAATAAAGGAGCAAAGAAAAAAAGATAATCCAAAAAACAGACTCTTTTTAAAATTTAAATTCAAGGGCAACCCCGGTGGCATAGCGGTTTAGCGCTGCCTGCAGCCCAGGGTGTGATCCTGGAGACCTGGGATCGAGTCCCACGTTGGGCTCCCTGCATGGATCCTGATTCTCCCTCTGCCTGTGTCTCTGCCTCTCTTTCTCTCTGTGTCTCTCATGAATAGATAAATAAAATCTTTTTTAAAAAAAGTTTAAATTCAATTTGCCAACATATAGTATAACACACAGTGCTCATCATATCACATGCCATACTTAATGCCTGTCACCCAGTTACCCTGTCCCCTGACTCATCTCCCCTCCTCCAACCCTTTATTTGTTTTCCAGAGTTAGGAGTTTCTCATGGTTTGTCTTCCTCTCTAATTTTTCTTCACTCAGTTCTCCCCCTTCCCTTATGGTCCCTTTTACTATTTTTTATATTCCACATAGGAGTGAAACCATTTGATAATTGTTTTTCTCTGAACTTACTTCACTCAGCATTATACCCTCCAGTTCCATCCACATTGATGTAAATGGTAAGTATTCATCCTTTGTGATGGCTGAGTAATATTCCATTGTGTGTATGTATATATATATGTATATATATGTATATATATAACATCTTTATCCATTCATCTGTCGATGAACACCAAGGCTCCTTCCATAGTTGGGTATTGTGGACATTGTTGCTGTGAACATTGGGGTGCAGGTGTCCCATTGTTTCATTACATCTATATCTTTGAGGCAGTAGTGCAATTGTTGGGTTGTAGGGTAGCTCTATTTTTAAGTACTTCAGGAGCTTCCAGACTGTTTTCCAGAGTGGCTGCACCAGCTTGCATTCCCACCAGCAATGCAAGAGGGTTCCCCTTTGTCCACATTCTTACCCACATTTGTTGAGAAACAGAATCTAACTATGGAGAACAAACTGATAGTTACCAAAGGAGAAGTTGGTGGTGGGGGGATGGGTGAAATAGGTGATGGGGATTAAGGAGTATACTTATCATGATGAAAAAAATAAAGTAAAATAAAAAAAGGGAAATTTTTAAAGTACTGATGAGAGACATATATTGTTGAATAAAAAAAGCAAAGTGCAGAACAGTGTATCTATTACACTGTATTTGTATTAAAAAGATGGATAAGAGTCAATATATATGCATAAAATATTTCCACAAATATACCCAAGAAACTGATAATATTTATAGATTCCATGCTTGGAGTGGTGGTGGCTGGGGACCTGAGGTACAACGGTGAGAGGGAGTCTTTTCACCATACTTTATCTTTTGAATTTTAAATTGTCGGACTTACTAGCCTATTAAAAAGTTAACCATAAATGAATGCATTAGTAAATTAAATTGGGTTTGAAAAAATCCGGAGTCACAGGTAAGCAGACTCATACAAAGATAAAATAAACCCATTGTAAAAATGTGGAAAAGCAAGTATAAAGAAGAAATAATAAAAATCATACTGTCCTAGTACTGAGGTGAGCACTGTTAACTTGTAAGTGTAATTCCTTCTAATTTATTTTTTCTAGTGATTTGGAGGATATATATTTTGTTTTGTTTTAATGTTATTAATGGCCATGTTTTAGTTTTTACCCTAACCAAGAGTAAAACAATATCTCAATGTCTCATGACTCCCTACCTGTGGGAGGAATTTCACTCCTCTCCTTTTGTTCTATTCTTCCCTCCCTCAATTCCGGGATAGTATCATTTATGGTTTAGGTGCAGATTATGGTTATTGCATCAGTTTTTATATCACATATATTTTCCAACAATAGTGTTTGGGGGATGCCTAGGTGGTTCAGCTGTTGAGCGTCTGCCTTAGGTTTAGGGCATGATCCCAGAGTCTGGGATCGAGTCCCACATTGGGCTTCCTGCATGGAGCCCTTCTCCCTCTGCCTATGTCTTTGCCTCTCTCTCTCTGTGTCTCTCATAAATAAATAAAATCTTAAAAACAAAACAACAATAATGTTTGGGCATATGCCTTCAGCCTTTTAAAATAACAGCTTTATTGAGATATAATTCATGTACTACATAGTTCACCTACTTAAAATACACAAATAAATATGTGTTGTTATTTTTAAGTAGGCTCCATGTCCAATGTGGGGCTTAAAATCACTACCCTGAGATGAAGACTCACATGTTCTACTGACTGAGCCAGCCAGGTGCCCCAAATGTTTTTTTTAATATAGTCTCAGAGTTGTGCAGTCATTACTACCATCAATTTTATAGCATTTTTATCACCCCAAAAGGAACACTGTATCCATAAGCACTCTATTTTCCTCCCATTGACCCCAGCCCTAGACAACCACTAATCTACTTTCTGTCCATAGATTTGCTTATTCTAGCCATTTCATGTAAATGATATCATACAACATGTGATCTTTTGTGACTGATTTCTTTCACCTATACTATTTTCAGGGTTCGTCCATGTTGTAGCACATATCAGTACTTTATTCCTTTTTATGGCTGAATAAGATTCTATTATATGGATATACCACATTTTGTTTATGAATTCATCACTTCATGGATATTTGGGTTGTTTCCACATTTTGTCTGTTATGAATAATGCTGCTATGAACATTTGTGTATAGGTTTTTGTGTGAACATGTTTTAAGTTCTCATGGCTATATGCTGGGTCATATGATTACTCTATGGTTAACTTTTTGAGGAACCATCAGACTGTTCTCCAAAGTGGCTGTATCATTTTACATTCTCACTAGCAATGTATGAAGGGGCCGATTTCTCCATACTCTGGCCAACAGTTGTTACCTATCTTTTTGGTTATTGCCATCCTAGTGGATATAAAGTTGCCTTCAGTTTTGAAACCAAATCTTTTGAGTGGTTTTGTGACAGAAGGTGAAGTGTGTAAACTATCAAGGATACTAATGGCTATATATACTAAAGGCTTTATATAAGTCCAGAAAGATCACATTATCTGGAATTAGTGGAGCTGATACCTGGTCTGGCTGTAGTATTTGTGCTCTTAATCACTATGTGTTGGTGCTACACATAAAGTTAACTCACATGGTATAATCTTTAATTTTTATTTAGTGAAAACTTGACAATAATACATTTCTTGCAAATTGGAGATGCTTAGTTCCAAGAAGGAATTATTTTTTTTAAGATTTTATTTATTCATGAGAGAAAGGAGAGGGAGGCAGAGACATAGGCAAAGGGAGAAGCAATCTAAAAAAAATCAAAGACTTCCTCAATGTGCTTGTGTCTACTAATTCAGTCATTCATTACTGTGTCCAGTAATTCTCAAAGTACTGTTGTGTTCATGATTCAGTTTTATATAACATAAGGACTACTGTGAACTATAATTTTTATGTTAACAAGTGTTGTTGAATAAGTAATTGTGTGAAGATGGAGAGTCACTGAAGTTCTTTGGACCTCAGTTTCTTCATCAAACTATGCTTCTATGATTTGGATTTAGTTCAGTTATAAAATTCAGATGATGACAATCATTTCTTAGTTCTCTGAGAGGGAAATTTAGTTTAGTAGATGGCATTTTCTGTTTTAAGATATTTTTTCCCTTGAGATTTTCTCAACTTTGGAAGTTACTGATAGAAAAGCTCAGAGTTGATCATGCTTTCTTTTGACAGCTTTTTTTTAAATGGACATTTATGGTTGCAATTCTGATTTTATATTCTTTAATTTATATTCCTATAAATTACTCATAATTTCTTGCACAGGTTTTCCTATTTTGTAGTAGTATTTCATGATTTTTTTATAATTTACTAATGTGCAATCATTTAAGCTGGTCTGAAGTTTTTGTTCTGTTTTATTTTGTTTTAAAGATTTTATTTATTCAGGGGCACCTGGGTGGCTCAGTGGTTGAGCACTTGTCTTTGGCTCAGGTCATGATCCTGGGTTCCCAGGATCAAGTCCCACATCAGGCTCCCTGCAGGGAGCCTCCTTCTCCCTCTGCTTATTTCTTGCCTCTCTGTCTTTGTCTCTCATGAATAAATAAATAAAATCTTTAAAACAAATAAGAATAAGAGATTTTATTTATTCATTTGACACACACAAAGAGAAAGAGAGTGAGCGCATAAGCAGGGGGAGCCGGAGAGGAGGCAAGCTTCCTGCTGATCAGGGAGCTCAATGCGGGACTCCATCCCAGGACCCTGGGATTATGACCGAGCTAAGGCAGATGCTTAACTACTGAGTCACCCAGGTGCCCCTAGTTTGAAGTTTCTAAAGTTTGTACTACCTCAAATACTTTGTGATATACCTTGATTATATATATATTAAGTTTAGAACACTTTACTAAATGTTTCTAGGGCATAAGTAGGAAAGAGACACTGTTTTTCTGCCTTCAAAGAATTTACATTTTAATTGTAACAGTTTTAATACAGTTTACTAATTCATAAAATATATCTGGAAAATTTGTCAGACTTGGGCATGGATGAAAGTGATTAATGGGTTTCCTTCAAGGGAATGCTGAATGTCTAGGGACTCTGAAAGGTTTATCTGGTTCTAAATGAGTGTACAGTTTGGATCATCTTTGATTGACAAGGCTATTTTACCACTCTGTAGGGATAAAAGTTAAATTGTAGAAAACTGAGAACATTGCAAACGTTTTTTAACCTATAACACTGCAAATGATTCCTATTCTCAGCAATACAAATGGATTTTGTCCAGGAGAAAATATAAATCTTTTTAAGTCAAATTCTATTATGAATTGGTTTTCACTTCTTTCTGATTTCCTCATTGATTAATAAGGAAATCAAATCTGACACTTAACATTTTGATTCATGTTCTTTTTATATTTACATAAGAATCATGATTTTATTATTTTGGAAATTATGCTTTAGAATTTTTATCTAC